CCACTGACGTGTTTACTCTGCTTAGATGCGATCGATCCGAATCAGGAACCTCAGGACCCCCCAGAGCCTCCTCCTGGCGATCCTCTACTCACAGACTCGGATAGCAAGTTCCTCAGCTCGTTCTTCGAGGACATGACCGCCGACCAGTACAATATGCCTTCATTCGGCGAAGGTCTCAACTTTAGTGATTCGTGGCTCGATCTGCCCCCGCAGTTTATGGGAACGGCGACTTCTTTTGGGCCACAGTTTGGAACGTCATTGGCATCTACCAACGGTCAGGGGATTGCAGGAGAAACAATAGATTTTCGCTCAGGGCCAGAAGCAAGTCTCATGCCGCCTCCCCCTTTACCACACAATCATAATCAGATTCAGCCACATCAATCAATACAACAGCAGCAACAGCAGCATCAACAACAGCAGCAGCAGCAGCCGCAACATCAGCAGCAACAACAACAGCCTCAGCCCCAACAACATAATACGCAACACCACTTACCACAGCATCCACAGCGGCATGCACAGCAACATCAATATCACTCTGATGACGTCTTAAATGCTGCCGCGACCTTGCTCCAGAATGGGGCGGGCTCAAGAAGTGCCTCGGGTAATCACGAATACAACTTCCCAAGACGGCCCGTTGCCCCCCCTGCCAGCCACCTGCGACACCAACCAATGGACGAGTTCCCCACAGATGGGCGTCGATCAGGTCCACAGTCTCAGGAAGCTGAATATGGAGACTGGATGTACGGTGCTCAGCAGCAGCAAGGACGAATACCACCCGCACTTGAGAGCGACCGTGCAAATGATTTTCAATGGGGGTCGGATGCCAATTTCAGCCCGGTGCAAGGTTACACTCCTAGGCTGAACAAGGGCCCAACGACAATTGACTCGATGCATAGGGAGCAAATGAAGATTCTAGAATCCCTGGAAGTCTCCAAAAGTGCAGCAAGCACGCGACCAAGCAGCCCAACCAATACACACCACGGCCAAAAGGCTTCGGGACAGACACAATCGCTGCCCAAGGTAAAAGAAGATCCCGAGGCCCCCCCGCGGAAACGAAGGAAAAGCAAGAACGCTCGGGAAGGGACGGAACCGGTCGAAGGCGATGATACCCCGGCCCCAGCCCCTGGCGCTACTGCATCCGCGACGAAGCCGAGGCGGAGGAAACCGAAGGCAGAACGCTCAACCAGTGATAACTCACCACCACCTTCAGCGACATCCGTCACAGCACCTGTGTTTGGTGAAGGGCCTTCGTCAGAGGCAGGGTCGTCAGGAGGTGGGAGACGCAAGCCATCGGTAAACGGGTCCAAAGCGCCACGGGAGAACCTGTCGGAGGAGCAGAAGAGGGAGAACCACATCCGAAGCGAGCAAAAGCGCCGCACCCTCATTAAGGAAGGCTTCGACGACCTGTGCGAGCTGGTGCCCGGGCTCAGGGGTGGGGGCTTTAGTAAGAGCACCATGTTGACGATCGCAGCGGAATGGCTAGAAGAGCTATTGCAGGGAAACGAAGCCCTGGCAAGCCAGTTGGCAACGATTGAACGAGGATGAAAAAAAGGTGTGCAGGAGAAAGCTCTTCGATACTTGTTTCGCATTTGCAATTTTGGTATTGATATTTTAGCGGTTCACAATGAGCGCCGTTTGGTGTGTTCTCTTTTATTTATGATTCCCAGCAGCAACGGCAATACCCTAGGGGCTATACGTGGATATTCTGAAGAGGGAAAATAATTATTGACAGCATTGCTTCTTAACAAGCAAGCGACTTGCGTTGGGTCGTTTTTTTGAAGCACAGCTTTGCGGCGGAACCTTGTTTGCCAACGACGAGGCACTAGGTAATAAAACTTTCGACACCATCTATGCTCTGTTCGAGCTTGTCCGTGGAAAACCAATATCGTTTCCACACCGAATTTTACCGTGTCTTTTGGTTGGCCTGTGGCACTGAAGCAAATCTGCCGACAACGGCCGCCATTCGGTAGCACACGGCCTCTCGGCCTACCCATCAGAGGCCAAGGCCTAGTCGGCTTCAAACTGCAAGACCAAATAGCTGCCCAGCTATGGCAGTCACTGAAACATGGGAACAAAGCACATCGCTCCCGTGACTCAGTGGTTGACGCACGGTACGGTTCACCAGATAACTGGGCGGGTCAAGCTCAGCATAGACGCCAGCCCATAGATGACATTGGGAAGATTGGCGAATAATGCAGAGGGGAGAATGCGAGGGTATTTGATCTTCCAGTCCGCGGGCTTCGGCGAAACAAAGCTTTTTTTGCACGCCATTGTGGGACGACGGAGGCTCTTGAGACTTGGCCCACACACCTAGCATTACTCATGAGTGCAGTTTAGCAACGACTATCTCGGCTTTTCGGGACGGCTACTAAAGAGATGGTGACGGATGGAGGATGTTAATAGATTGGAAACGATGAGGACTTTGTCGATAAAGTTTCAGACCCCATCTATGTCTTTGTATTGATAGCGTTTAAACTTACAACATATGAATCCCCCCAATTGTGTTTACTATACATTACTTGTGTTGCATCATATCATACCCTGGTCTGAGTGAATACTGGGACTGGACTAGTCTATCGATATCACCTTGTTCACGATGTGTGTGGAAACACATGGTACGGTGGCATTCGGCCTTTATATCTCCGAGACCCCTTGCGTTTCATCTCATCCTTGAACTCGTAGATCTCTGGCATTCCTGGAGGTTGAATTTTAACTCGTCAATACCCCGGGAACTTTGATTCCTCATCAGGTGGCTGTCACCGTCGTCCCACCGGGTCGTAGGATTCAGGATGAGACCCTTGGCTATAATTTTCGTGGAGACACGCACAATCTCTCTTTTCGAGAGACCCAGAACGGCAGAAGAGGCGTGAACGACTCGATTGAGGTTCTGTTTAGCCGCGACGGGAACTATGTTACCCTCCCGTGGGCAGCTAGCTGAGAAGGGTATCGATCGGAACCTGGAGCGAGAAGACCTGATTCAGTATCATGTCTAGCCCATCTTGAACCTGGTCGCCTACCGGGAGAAAGAGAGGTGGGCACAATACGTGTCTCCATTATTGCACATGTCGCAACATGATACATGGTATTAATGAAAGGGGCAGGCATGGGCGGTGGCTTCGGAACCGCTCATAGCCGCCGCCATCTCGCAGCTATATTTCAGGTTGAGAGGAAAGTGAGCGCTGCCAACTTGAGCTCTCTTCCTCACACTGCACCTCATCCTCTCCGCCTTCCTGAGTGACAGTATCATCCTCCTTTGCCGCCATCGCCATGAAGTTCTCCCTCCTCACGGCGCTCTCCATGAGCATGGCGACCAGCGCGGCCTCGGCCTCGACCCTCATGGCCGCCCGCAACGACAGCACCGAGTGCGTCACCCCGCGCCCGATCCCGGACCTCAAGGGCGGCGACTTCAGGAACTTCGGCGTGGTGCTGTTCCGCGCGCTCGACATGCTCGACGTGTTCGGGCCCCTCGAGCCGCTGCAGCTCGTGGCTGTCGGCACGCAGCAGCTGAACCTGCACTTCATCGCCGAGACGCTGGACCCCATCTCCACGCGGCCGGCGAGCATGAACAACTTCAACTCGAGCTTCTTCCCGGACATTGCCGTCACCAACACCTTTGACGAGGACCTGGACCTGGACGTGCTCATCGTCTCCGGGGGGCTGGGCGTGCGCGCGCCGGGGCTGGACGCCATCGAGGAGTACATCAAGAAGGTCTATCCCAAGGTCAAGCTGCTGATTACGATTTGTACGGGTGCGCGGCTGGCTGCGAGGTCGGGGGTAATGGATGGCCGCTTGGCGACGACGAACAAGAACTCGTGGGACTCGACGACGGCGAACGGGCCTGATGTGAAGTGGGTGTCGCCTGCTCGGTATATCAGGGATGGCGACATCTGGTCTTCTTCTGGGGTGAGTTTTTGAAGAAATTTTTTAACTTTGTGATGGCGTAGGGGAAAAGAAACTGACACAAGGTGAATAGGTAACCTCTGGATTGGACCTCATCTTCAACTTTATCAAGACGTACTGGGGCGAGGAGGAGCATGACCGGATCGCTGGGATGGTCGAGCATGTGACCCGGGAGTGGGACGATGATCCCTTCTCTGCCCACTACGGCATTCCGAGGACAGATGCCCAGCCGTGCTTGGATTAGGGGTGAATCTGGTGTTTGGGATTCGTGTACTTGGGAACAGCAGAAGCGTTGGGCGCCGTAGACGTGAGAAACGAATACCAAAGCGAAGGACTTTTCATGAAGATGGACATCCTGATACGCTAATAAAATAACACTCATGATAAACGAAGAGCTTGAAATCAATCATCCTTTCGATATCAGGACAGCTCCATGTGACAAGACTAATGAAGAAGACTCAAGTAGGCAGACTACTACTGGTGTTGTCTCATTTTCATCTTGCTCAATTCGTGAGATCAATACAACAGGGAAAATATGTGACACCCTCACCTCATGGAGCTTCCTACTCGGCTCTTACTTAACCTATATGGAGTACATAGGCGATGAGAAAACTCTCAAATATGAGTTGATTGTATATGGTATGGTTGTTTGTTATGATAATCCTCACAACGTCTGGATGCAATGCCCGAATTCCAGCTGTCACCAAAGAGAGGAAACCACTTTGGAGTAATTCGATCCGTGATTTAGACTCCTTGATACGAGCAGTGACCTTGAATGATATGTCCAGGACCTGGGTTCCTTCAGTTTTTTCTGTTGACCCTTCTTGAAGCAGCCCCTCAGATATGTGGATGGCATAGTAGCGACTTTGGTCTCAGGCTGAGACTGATGAACCATCTGTCCTCCCATGACAAAGTTCCTCGGTCTCGCCCTTACTCGGCTAGCTGTGGCTATCTTTATGCCGTGCTACGTTTCCCGGATCTCTCTCTCGTAAGGCTCTGCATGTCGATCATGAAGATTGACTTGTACTGAACTTTGTTTCCTCTTCTTTTGTTCTTGCTTCAATAGAATTCCTCCACTGACGATCGAGGTCTTGAATAACATGGTATTGCCTATCCCTAATCTTTCCACCCATAGAACAAGTCTGGCTGACACTCGATGCCAGAGAGATGACGAGAGATACCCTACGGTCGTGGAACCAGATGCATATCCCATACCAGTGATAGCTTTCCCTGGCCCGGATATCCAGGGACACGATAAACTGTCTGCACCTGAAAAGGATACGCATCCGCCATCTGATGAATCCGGTTTGCCGGAAGTGAAGAGAGTGTATGGCTTCAGAAGAAAAAAGATCATCCTCGTCACCGTGGTAATTGTCATCGGAGCCGTCCTTGGAGGTGTCCTTGGCGGACTTGCAGCAACCGGACGGCTGGGAAATAGCTTCGAGGTCTTATCTTCGATCCCATCAAGCATAGCCAACTCGCCGCAGCGATCCGGGCCTATTCACAAAACCCAGCGCAGCGTAGCGGCGTCCATCTCCTCTGGTGCCGAGGGCTCCGATGTGCAGGTATTCTACCAGGCGCTCAACACAACAGCCATCTCGTACCGACGCATCGTCAACGACAAGTCCAAGGCGGAGCAGGAGGCAAGCCTGAGTATCGAACCCGCCTGGGGCACACCCATGGCCGCCGTGGCGATCAATGGATCCGACCCCCTCAGGACGCAGCTGTTCTACTTATCCGTCGACAGCAGCAACAGGACCAGGATTGTCGAGGCCACGTTCGAGTGCCAGGGCGACTCTGGATCGTTTTCCACCGTGTCAAACACCGTGATATCTGACAAAGTCGACCGGCTTGTCCACCCGGAAACCAAGCTCTCTGCCCTCCGGCTGGGAAGTGACCTTCTCCGAGTCTTCTACCAGAAGATAGACGGCAGCATACACGCCTTTGGTAGGGACGATGAATCAGGATGGCATGACAACCGTGTCAGGCAGAACGCGCACCCAGGGACGGCCATCGCCGCCGTGGCCGCCGAGCGAAAGGCCGTCCATCTGTTCTACGTCGGCCTGAACAGCATGACGCTGCGAGTTTCCATCTACGACGACCGGCTCGGTCCCAAAGTGGCTAGGTAAGGTCCCCCAGCATTTACTTTCTCGGCGTCCTTTCCTCGGAATCAAGTAGAGAACTAACAGGGCATGGATTCAGCGCTGAGGTCGACGGCACCCCCAGCTCCGACTGGCGACCGACGAACACTCTCGCCGGCATCCACGTGGCCGGTGATGGATCCTTCAGATGTTACTGGTCTCACCCCAACAACGGCGATATCTACTCGTACTGGCGCGACGATTCGAGGTGGATCGGCACTCACGACGACTGCTGGGGGCGTGTAGAGGGTGGCTTTGCCGGAGTTGGCTGGTCTGACCAGGTCGGCCTGTATTACTTTCAGGATGGCGAGTTGGTCGTCAGTGCACAGGATGATAAGACCTGGCAGAAGCCTGTGGTGGTGTGAGTCTGGGCCAGAAGCGTGAGAGAAGGGGTGCCAGATTTCCCCTTTTATCTCGGTGGTCGCTGCCATTCAATTCAGTGTTCAATGTAATATACTTACCTTGGCTCGATATCTGGTTTCCAAAAGTCTCGTAATGCGGCCGCGAGGGTACAAAACTCAATAGCATTTCTTCAAGGGCTATTCATGAATCCCGAGTCTAGAGTACGCCAAACATGGATGTATGTTTTATATGTTGCCCCGATCACTGCATCTCACTCTCCTGCTTCTCCCCGCCTCTGCTACAGATCCGTCCTGTAAAAATTACCTCCATTTTTGAAAGAACCCCCCCATAAACGCCAGACAAGTAAAGTACTAAGACAGTTGAATCATCTCCAAGCTCTGCATCCGCCATCGCCGTCTTGCTTCAATTCCATGCTCTAGCTCAAATCCATGGTCTCGCCGCTGCCGTTAGTGACGGTGAAGTCCACAGCGCCGTCATTGCCAATCAGGCGCTTCTCGGACTCTGCCACGAACTTGACACTGCGAGCAGGGTCGTAGAAGAGGTTGAAGCTTCGCTGCACATCCTCAACGCTGACCTGCTTGGCTTTGCGCTTGGCAGCGAGGAGCTGCGAAGTGGTGATCAGGTTGCTTGCGTATCGCAGACCAGTCTCCTGGCCAATCTTGGCGAGAAGGGCAAGGGCGTCGGCGGACAGGTCGACCTCCTCTTCCTGGGCTCGGATGTTCAGAATTTGTTTAATGTTCTCGGGAGAGTAAGGGTGAGTGTTGATGATGACAATGCGATCGAGGAAATCGAGAGGCAGACCGTGGGGGCTGCGGTAGTCGGTACCACGGATACGGGAGATCCCGCGGTTGCTGGCCATGATGACAATGGGGGCCAGGTCGTCCTCGAGGGCTCGATTGATATAGGCAAATGACTCAATGTCGAGCATGTGGACCTCGTCGATGAAGAGAACACCGGGGACAATCTCGGCCTTGCCCTCCTCCTTCCATTCGGCCACCTTGGTGTTGATCTGGTCTCGGATCTCGCTGCGGATTTCTCCCGTGTCGCCAGAGAAGAGGGCGAGGAATCCCTGTGTTCTCGAGTTGATGACATCAATCTCGTGGAGAGTAACTGTGTGGACGACCTCCTTGCGCTTCTGCAGCTCGCCGTCAGGGCACTGTAGGAACTTGGTATCGACACCCATTGCATCGTAGTCGCGAGAACGAGCGTAGGATCGGCCGAGCTTGGTGATCTTGCCGGAGGACTTGTCGATCGAGATGATGTCTCCTGCCATGACACGCTCCTTGGTCATCGCGTCAATCATCTTGCTTCCCATATCGTATACGGCCTCCATGTCGGTCGTTTTGATGGTCAACTTGCCCTGCTTGGTGGCACCGGTGACACTGCGGTCAATCTGGATCTCGACAACCTCTCCCTCCATAATCTCACTCTCCTCCTTGATGCGTACGCCAATGGACTTTCGGAAGGCCTGCGTCAGGGCTTCGGTCTTGGACATTTCGAGAGAGAAGATTTCGGATGATGCGACGGATGTGAAGGGGACGTCAGGGCCGAGCGACTGTGCCATACCCATGGCGATGGCCGTCTTTCCAGTGCTAGAGTGACGAGTTAGCCAACAGTTGGTACCGCATGTGTCTGATGGAGGATGCCATCAGAGCATTGCGCAGGGCGATCTCCTTCATATTTCCGTACCTTGGAGGACCAGCAATGAGGACGGCGCGTCCAGCAATCTTGCCATCCTTGATCATCTGGAGGATGACAGCGGCAGCCTTACGCGCCTTCTCCTGGCCAACCAGACCTTGCGAAGCAGCTCGGGGCTCGAGAGAAGTCGCATCGACACCGAGGCCGCGAATGTGGGAGTGGGCAGCGATGAGGTTCAGGCCACGAATGTCCTTGGAATCGGAGACGGTCATCACGGGCTACACAAATCATCCAATTAGCATCGAGACGTCGCGTTCGTCGGAGGTGTAGCGGTCGCAGGTGTTGAGCTTACATTCGCCATCTTGAGGTGGTGCTTCTTGGGAGTGCCCAAGTCTCAGTATCCAAGTAATGCGGTAGGATAGAGATGGGGATCAATTCGGCGATATTACACGAGGTTGGGCAGTGCGTTTACCCCGAGAGCTTGGTGTGAATGTTTTTCAAGCATCTACAGCTTAGCAGCAGCAACGCAGAAATGACCCTGGAAGGTTACGTAAGCACGCGATTCGCATCACGAACCCGTCATTGGCTGTCTCGATATGCCTGGGAGAGGGTCAAGTTCCATTATGCAGGCAAGTGGGTGACATTGAAATTGAGACACTCAAACATTAAGCTGCTTATCTTCGAGTCTGCGACTGGTATTATCAGACTATTAAGTACTAATAATATATATTTCAGAGATAATATAGTGTATATCATCACTTTATCTCATTTTATACTACTAAATTTCTCTATTTATTATAGAAAGTAGTCTGTTTCTAGCTAACTCTTCCATTAGGTGTCTCAATTTCAATGTCACCCACTTGGCAGGTCCGATATACAGTTGGACGCATCCAAAATTGACTTGTCTCATTATTCTGCTTCGTCTCCCAATTCTTCTGACACTTTTTAGCCTCACAGGCCGCGCAGAGCCGCCATGATGCAGTGCCAAAGTCAATGCACTTCAATTGACAGCAGCCTAATGTCCATTGCACCGGCCGGTGATGACCAATTAGTCAGCCCGCATCGACGGTTTTGCGCGGTGAGTGAGCAAATCCCCCACAAGAAGAAGCCCGAGGCGAGTCTCCCTTCTGCACTCTTCTTTGCTTGGCTAGCTCGGAACATTGTTGCACAACTTTTGGTTCTGCATCTCATGAATTGTCCCGGCCTGCAAGCACATGCCGGACCTGCTCGAACCAGCCAGCCCGGTTTCTAAAGCCAACACCATGAGCCCTGCGACGAGCACAGTGCCTGCCGCACCTTCCACAGCCTCTACCGGTGCAGAAAGTCAACTGCCTTATGGGCGAAGCCGTAAACAGGTATCGCGTGCGTGCGATTGGTGCCGTGTAAGAAGGATTCGTTGCGATAATGAGCAGCCCTGCAAAGCCTGCCGCCAGAGAGGTGCACAGTGCACTCAGAATGGTGGCGATGGCCCAAGAACTCTCCCCCAGGCTCTGAGGTATGAGAATCACGCTTGATGGTGATGTCCCCATCGTGTTGACACGCTTTGCTTCCAGGGAAATCGACAAATTGAAGGCCCGCGTCAGGGAATTGGAGTCGGAGCTGGCTGCCTACAAGTCCCAGCCAAGGACGGTTGCTGCCATTACACCTGTGTCACCCTCTGACCAGTCCTCTCCAGTCCAGTCTGTCAAGTCACAGGTGCAGCATACGGCTGTGGTGAAGCCCCGCTGGGAAGGTATATATGTCGCCACAGCACGGTCAGACCAACCCTCCTACTATGGCCCCTCGTCCATCTACTACTTCGTAAGTCGCATTGGGTGCTATCTTGGCAAGGCCTTGCAACAGCCTCACGCAGACAAAAGCTTCCAGACCAGAGGTGGGAGCAAGAACATGCACGAGACTGACTCGCCGGATGACAATGCGAGACAAGACCCAACGGAAATTGTGTCCGGCACTGACGCACGCTGGGGTGCGCTTAGACGTGTTCATGAGGAAGCCTTGCTCAAGCTCTTCTGGGAAGGCTACCACTGCTTTATGCCCATTGTTGATGAGACTGAATTCCGGCAGCATTATGCTTCTCTGTGGGAGCCGTCCCGCACAACGAGAAAACAGTCGCCCCTTGTAGACATCATTCTCGCGTTATCCTTGCAATATGGGTATGCGTTCATTCCCCGGAATGCTACCCATCTTGCCGACCACGATGAGGCGTACGGGGATTCCGCGGTCGCAGGGCGGTGGTATTACCGCAGATCACAGGCCTTGCTGAATGCAGACCTTGAGAGCCCCTCCCTCACAACTGTGCAGTGCTACCTTTTCAGCATTTGCTATCTCTGCTGTGCCTCGTTCCAGAACATGTGCCATATTGTGCACGGTCAGGCTGTCAGAGCTGGCCAAATATTGGGCCTGCATTTGGAGCCTCCCGCGGATACGCCTCATGGGGAGCGTGAGTTGCGGAAACGGGTGTGGTGGCATGTTCTTTTACTGGAAGCCAAGATTTCTACTAAACTTGGCCGTCCATTTTTACTTGAACTGGGCCAAGTAAGTAGTATGTCAAGACCTTCCGACGACTTGGCCACCGCAACCTACAACAACTCCAGTCTAGGAGCGTATGGACCTGGTCCCGACATTACCTGGCTCTCGTTTTCTAGCCATAATATCCAGCTCTTCTTAACAATGGCCAGCATTTACGAGGTACTGTACGACAAGTGTGGAGAGGCAATCCACCAAAACAACATCACCTCGATTTACGCCGATCCCAACGTGCTCGAGTCATGTGCCAAGGTTCTCGCTGCCAGGATGCCCATCTTGAGAGCCTGGGCAGATAATGTACCTGAACAGCTGAAGATGCGACGCCGCTCAATGGGAGAGCCCTTCTCTACGGACCGCTCTGCCGTCGAGATTGATCCTTTGGCGCCGATGTGGGTGCAGCGCCAGCGTGTCTGGCTGGAGTTGCTGTACCATACCACGGCCCTCAACCTCACGCGCCCTTTCATCACGTTCTACTCTCACTCCAGCTGCTATACCCCAACTGCGGAACAGCTAGCGAACATCGCTGTCGATCATGCCATCTCTTACACTCTCATCATGCACCAGGTCGTTTTCGAGTCAGACCTCTTGTGCGGTTGGAATGAATTCTTCTTCTTGCAGTGGAGTGCTGCCATGACCATTGTGGGCTTCATCCTTGCCTATCCCATCCATCCTGCCACGCCCAAGGCACGACAGGCTTTGGATAAGGCAATTGCTATCTTTGACAATTTCGCCCCCAACTTCCCCGTCAGTGCCGACGCAGCACGTATTGTCCGCAACCTGGTATCCAAGGCTGATTTACTTGCCGGCGGCGCTGAGCCCACCAAGGCAATCGAGGCTCCAGTTGCTCCCCTGGGGATTGCTCCCATCCCCGAGACAGGTAACAACCATGTTCCTGCCAACGACAACCTCGCTTGGCTTGATCCAAGTCGCCAAGATGATAGTGTTCAATTTAACCAGTTCATGGACTGGGCGATGTCAGTCGATGCTTATAACAATTTCGACAATTTCTTTGATGCGTCCAATCCAGTGGATGCTTGGGCATTCGGGCAGGGCGCAGGAGGCGTCCAATAAAGCTAGAGCAAGACAGCCAACATCATATGATATTTATTACGGCATTATTTGTATAGTGGTCGATGGGGTTGGGAGTTTGGAGTAGTCAATCCTCTGGGTCATCATCTATAGCACGAGGCAGGTATGATTCATGTCCAAAACGATACAATCTGAATCTATCATGCTAGTTATTTAGTGTAGATATCTCATACAAAAGTCTATACTCCTTCTATTCCAAAATTCACCAAAATGCATTGTCTTACACACCCAGCCGACTACTGCTTGGGCTGGATTGGCTCAGCAGCCAGTCGAGGGATGACTTCTTTCCACCCGTGCGTCCCAGAAAACGGAAAAGTATCGATCTGGCATTTGGCACCTGGCTGAGGGAGCTCACCGCGGACAAAGTAAGCCCGGATTGCCTTGGCAGTGCAAAGCGATGCCTGCATGATGCTGGTATGCTGGTTTTCACACAAAAGTCAGTCTTCTGCTATAGACAGTAAGGCAATATCTAGATCAAAGGACACTTACTCCGTACGAATCATGCTGGAGGAGAACGCTTCCCTCCAAGGTCTCGCTCACATTGCGAGCCGAGACGAGGGGCGTCACTGGATCGTAGGTGTTTCCAATAACAAGAGCCGGGTTCAGGGGCTTGACGCGGAAATCGCCCGAGTACCGCTCCTTGGCTGGGAGCTTCCAGTTCGCGCAAACAGAGGGTGCGGTGATCTCGCCCGCGATCCGGTTGCCGTTGATCCGGGTGTCCAGGGCGGGGAGCACGTCCTCGAATGTCTGGTTCTCGGTGAAGGTGTCGCCGCACTTGATGCCGTACAGCGCATCGGGCGAGCTGGGCGATACTTCGGACGACTCGCCGCCCCCGATGCCGTCACCGGCGGACTCGCCTCCGTTCATGAGGGCGTCGAGGCTCTTCGCAATGGACTGCCAGGCCGATGGGAACTTGAGCTGGACGTACAAGTATGATCCCTTGACGGTGCTGTAGTCAAGCACCGAGCCACCTCCTCCAGGAGATGGGATAGGGATGGGATTTAGTCTGACCTGCTCAAGGAAGGTGTAGATGGAATCCTGGAGCTGCTCTGCCGTTTGGTTCTTTGCCAGGGGGCAAACATCCGGGTTCTCTACACACCCTTTACAGAATCCCTCGAATGTGGCATCGGCATCCACGAATGTCTCCGTCTCGAAGTTGGCATAGTATTGGAACGGGTTGACTACACCGTCCAAGAGGATCTTGTCGACACGATCGGGGAACATGCCCAAGACAGTTGAACCAAGCAAGGTACCATAGGAAATACCTACATTAATAACTGTTGTCAACACATCATGTCCTCTAGATAGGAGAAGCAGCTGATGAAAACTCACCCCAGTATCGGAGCAGACCATCCTCTTTGAGTGCGTCCACAATCTGCATCATGTCTCTAGCAACAAAAGCAGTTCCAATGAGGTTGCCGGTCTTGTTCTGGACCGCGGCACAGGTGTTAGCGTAGAGGGTACTCTTGGCCCAGGTATCTCCAACGACGACGTCGGATGCGTTTCCAACTAATGCGGGCATCCCGACAGCTCGACTGAGATTATCCGTGAAGCATTCAAATGGGAGAGTTTTCCCGGTTCCTCTGATTCCTAATTAGCATTTTTCTAGCAGAGAGAAGAGTTCTGTCTGTTGATTGGACTCACCGGGGGGTGAATGTGACAATGTCGTGGTACCCACCAGTCGCGCTGCATGTCATGTCAGTAAGCCAGAGCCAAGGAAACTTGCAATACACCCTGATAGGTACTTACGCTTGTAAAACGTCCCCCAATGAGATCAAGTCGTTCACACAGTCGGATCCCGGGCCGCCGCAGTTATAGAGAATGCTGCCCTTCTTGGAGGCCTCGTCCACTGCTGCTTGCACACGGAACACAGGCAAGGTCATTGTCTCGGAGGAGTTCGAGCTTGAGTAGTCTAGAGGTACTGATAGGTTGGCACATTGCACGGGTAGAGCCGCCTTGGGGAAGTCACACGGCGTCCAATTGATACCAGAGGACTTGCACTGACAGTCCACATCAGCAGTGGCACGCCCAGAAGTTGTGAAGTAAACGACCGCATCGTGATGTTTCTTAAATTGTTTGATCCTTGATAGAGGTGGTTTGGAATAGTCCAGAGCAGGTTGAGGAAGCCTTCCAAGATGCCTTTATATAAGTGAGGAATCGTGAGTACGTACGCCGATGTCTACTCAGCCTTGCTCCAGCAAGCAAGCCTTCATGATCGTCACATTCTATTCTCCACATCTGCTCGGCCATGATTCCCAATAGTCTTAGATATTTTTAAAGTATGCCCTATCGTCATCGGATCCATGCCGGCGGCTCGGCATGGCCTCAATCCTCATCTCCAGATCATCAAGCAGTGATGTAATGATGGAGCTAAAAGCCAATTAGAATCCGCCGCTGGCTGGAATACTGGAGATGGCTTCCCAATCTGGAAGCATGTGCGACCCGCTGTATTTTCTCATGCAGCATCGATCTCGACGATCGTCCGCAGCTTTGGCCACGTTCGTCAGCGCTAGCAACAGCCGAACTTGCAATATGTCCTTGCCAACTAACATGACCATTGGGAATAGTGACGTTTTTCACTTGCTCTCGCTAGATATTGCGGTATAAGTCCATTTCGGTTCATTGTGGAGCTCGCCTGTTGTGGCGCAAATTGAGACGGGCAACGTGTTTCATTCATGAATCTCCAAATTCGGTCAATTAACTAACTGACCCCTGCGTATCTTATGGTTAACTGAACGAAAATGGTTATGGGATTGGTTTATCCTTTGTCTGTTAAGAGCTGTTTATCTTACTGAAACTTGTGTTGTCAGCGCCCCTTTTGTATGTTGGTGTCTGGTGAATAGGCCGAAAAGGTAAGAGTTACAACCTCCCTAAACGGCAGGTTTTAATTCGTTTGATTAAATGTTAGATATATAGAAATAAGTAGAAATAGAAGGGGAATATGACTTGATTGTTGAGGATCATAACTTTTACGTTCTGCTGATCCAGTCCCTAGCTATGTTGACTCAACACCTAACCTATAGCTTCTATTACTTGTTGACAATAACAACAACACCGCCCAGACATTGTTCGGGACTATCGTGGTCCACGCCGTTTGTTATTTATAATTTTCTCCATGTTTACTAATGGTTGGTCCATAAGTAATTTTCTTGGTTTTGAGTTGACAGGCGTATATTGAAGTCTCGAGAGCCAAGTTATGAGTGGGGGATAGTCACCAAGCCATGTACCACAATAAGTTCTGTTTCTAGTCCAGGCCCAAATCTAGATGAACCTGCACCACACATCTAATTTTTTAAGGTGAAATCCGGATTTTCTATGAATCCCCCTGATCAGAGGAACCTTGCTCATACCGCTTTCGTAGCGAGTTTCCCTATTTGCGTTGACCAGATCATTTATGTTCGTTTCTGAACCAATTGTCGACGGACATCGTAGAAGTAGTCAGCTGAGGGGTTTGATACGACTTAAAGGCACATAATGTCTTCATTCCTAAAATCCTTTGTGCTTATTTCTCCAAAAGAGGATGGCTAGGTGTCCCCACCACCATCATGCGATGTTGCTTTGATACCCTATATTCGACCTATAGTTTGACCCTATTCAAGCCTAATGGATATTTGAAAATCTCTATAAGCTAAACTCTTTCTAAGAGTGGCATGCCTTGTTTCCGGTATTGAATTAACTATCTCATCGGGATCTTATATGTCGCAGCTTACACCAAGGGTCCAAATTCACGGGGACTTGGGGAACTGGCTACCGCTCCGACCTCATGTGGCATTCCAAAAGGGTCTGTTCCACAACGAAAACCCTCATTTCTCAATCCAGCTTCATCCTCCCGGGTGTTGGGACTTTTCAGTCTCACACCTCTTCCGACACCCACCCAACCACTCACGAATTTACGGAACAGACGTTTCAAATAGGGCGGGGAGCAGGGATATAAATCCAACTGTCTGTAAGGCGCAGCCCCCCCAGCGATATCATACCTAGAAGCCCTACAAACAGGGGTTCATTCCCGAGGAGCCAATCTTATTGAGGCCATGTGAGTTGTAGCATGACATCTGAGTCAGAGTAAACGAGTAGCGAAGTACAAGACGCAAGGAATGATCCACAGCCAGGGTCACGGAATGAAATTGTGTTAATTGATTCTTTTCCCCAAATTGTACACGAGCTTGGATTTGAAAGGGCGCCATTAACTCCGTCTCCAATAACACCGAGGCCCATGAGATTTGATTTGGTATCATCCTATCATAGCGGAAAATTGTCGAAAGCAGCCAGCCATGAGATCAAAGAAATGTCGTCTAGCGAGCAGCCGGAACGAGTCGAAATATGAGAGGAAGAAAACTGCAAGGATTTTTTCAATTTTGCCGGTCTGCCAAGCCTTGGAAACAAGGGTGGAAGCTGAGCTCGTTCATCATCCATGTTCCAGGCATCCCAAGGAATGAAAACAATTGCTGCGATCGTATAATCCTTGTGTACTTTGTCGAAAAATACTCTTCAGTCCTTGAACGGTTTACCCAATTATATCATATTTGCTTTTATCCACCTATCCGTGACATCTCTTCGAAGCGGCTTGAAATTAAACGTGTCATAATCATCATATCGATCTAATTCCCCCTCCATGTTCCTTTGAATAGATGCCTTGCCAGCGCGTCAGGCGGGATGGAACCATCATTAGTACTATCTGAATGCGGCTGCCCCATGCCGAACCCATCGATGGGCAGAACAAGCATGTCGCCGTAGAGGGTCGGTTCCTTCATGTAGGAAAGATCCGTCAGCTGGTTGATCCACGGCTCCAGCTCCTGTAGTTGCTCAAAGACGACATCAGTCCATGCGGCAGGTCCGGTTGAGTTCATAACCTCAATACTAGCAGGCTTCACTTCGCTAAGGGGGACTTTGTGCTCTTCCGCCAGCAGCTTGGTCGAGTTGATGATGCGGTTCACCATCTTGTCGAATACCGGATGTCCGGGGGCGGCGGCGATGGTCCACTGGCAGAACTGGAGGACGTGAGGGATGTCGGCCCATGCCGGGCCCTCACGGCGATCGTACTCAATGCCAACAATCACACGGGTTCGGTTTCGGATGTGAGAGGGAATCCAGTTGTCGATCGGCTGCAGTGCTATAGTGTCGGTGTCGGTGTATACGCCTCCCTCGACGGAGAGGAGGAGATAGCGCAACATGTCTGATTTCATGCCCACATTCGGCATGTTGGTGTATGTCTCGAGAATGTCTGGTCTATGCGAGAAGTGCTGGTGGATGAAATCATCGCCGCCCTTCTGGTCGACTAGAAGGCTACATTTCATTCATGTGTTAAAAGAGAAAGCGGAAGATGAAAGTGAAATGAGAGAAGTAAAGACAAAGAAACTATTGGAATGAGCGAGAGGGACCTATCTTACTAGAAATAATTCGGATTCAGCGCAAGCCAGGAAGCGGTGTTCTCGAGTGCCCCCGCCTCGATTGTTGGTTGGTCGGGAGTCGGTTTCTTCGGAAGCATGATCTGCCATATCGTCTCGGGGATGTGAGCTACATCAGGCTTTAGCGACTCTGCGGATGGCCGGAATCGCAATGACTCGAGCCCAGATCGATGGAGAAAGAACAGGAGGGCGGCGACCGAGAGGAAGACGAAGGCGGCGATAACAGTGCGGCGGTACCTGCGAGCGTAACCGCGGGCGTATTGCGCTGGTGAGGCCGGGTTCACCAGCGGGAGTTCACTGCTGACTGCCATGATTGCCAAGCCCAGCCGAGATCAAGAGCCGTCTTCTCATCGATTGCTGATTGATGAATGACGGCCGGAAGACGAGGTGGGAGGCAGACGGGACACGATGGCGAAATATACGGGCTCACGCCTTGCATGCATTAGCCCGAGTCGTCGCCCGCCCCTCTGATAGACTCGGATCTATTTCAGGCAATAAGCCGTCGCCCCAGCCGATTGCCTAAATCTTACATGGCGATGAGGATCCTTTGTCTACGTACTGAGACTGTGCTCTGCAAGCCAAAACCCAGTGTGCGCCACTAAAAAAGCTCTTTGCGCGGGTGTGGCCCAGCTGAAGCAAAATCCCCACCCGCATCTCGTTCCTTCATAGCGAATGTGACGCTACTTGCCAATACGGTTGGTAACGTGGTAGCACATCGATCAAGTATTGATCCGTGGCCTGATTCTATACGAATCCGGCAGCAGCAGGCTCTTTCCGTGCTGTCGAATCCGGCCTAAACTATAGCCCTGCGTGGGAGGGGTTCCGGATGCGAAAATTATCTGGTGATGCTTTCAGAATTGTCTTATCGGCGGCATGAGCCTAGCGGACGCCCCAAACGCCTCCTTCGGCCGCAGGACACTCTCACGCTGATCTCAACTTGGCCGTGGCCAATCAAGACATGTCTGAGGACGATCCGGGCGGGTGTTGGCTTCAGCTGACAAGGTCCGGGCGCTGTGCTATCCAATGACGAAAAGGCGGCGACCAACAGACGACGGAGCGGAAGAAGCCAGCGGGCTCGGTTTGTGGCATGTCGAAATTACAATCGAGACGTGCTTCCACCGACACACCTCTGGCCCCTCACATTTCCAGCGCTTCCATACGGCAACATGGCCCGGGGCTGAGTTGCCAAGCGATGGTTGGGCATGTCCCGTATTTGGACTATGCCAAGGGACGGCACGGAGTCGAGCGATTTGGGGATGGCTACATCTAATGCCAGGCAATTTCTCAACGCTGTGCAACGTGGAGAGAAGGCTGAAAAGAAGAGTGATTACGCGGGATGATTCCCCCTCGAGGAAAGGCCTGGACTCCTCGAGTCGGGTCATGATCAGAATCCTGCTCGACTTAATATATGAATACGATCTCACATCTCAAACAGCCCTGTACTTTTAGCAGATGTCGCTGTCACTCGTGGTTGCACCCTGGATCAGTTTGATCCGCACGCAGCGCCCACCATGTCACTTTCTTCTCTTACCTCGACATGGGCCGCCGGGCCAGTGTCATGTCTTGCCGATCTGGGCTATGATAGCCAACAAGTCAGCAAGATGTACGGCACAGCCACGCCTGTCCCCATGGGAATTTCGCCAAACCCTGACTGCCTCCCACCCCAAGCCGGATGCCCTGTCGGCTTCACAGCTGCCTGCGCGGCGACAGCCGGTTCGTTGCTGAATGGCAGGCAGGTGAGCATTGTGACCTGCTGTCCGAGGTTTGTGAACCGTCTCTCTGCTTCATCTGGCCAAAAAGAATTGGGGGGATGAGCCTGACTTATAAGGATTGACAGTGTCGAGGCGCTCTCTTTCACGTGCAACAATGATCAGCGCGGCTGCTATGCCGCTATGACGCTCAGGAATGATGAGACCGGTTTCACTACCGACTTGGGCCAGCGTGAGAGGTCCACGGAGCAGCTTGTGACACGAGCGCCTGTCAGGGCACAAGAGGATAAAGCTCTCACACGGGGGGTTATGGTTGTTTCAGTGAGAGTTTATTAGAGGTTCCACTCTGTTCCCGGGGGCTCTAGCTGACAGTCCCAGGTCGCCCCGACATCCATGGCCAAGATGGTCCGGCATGAGACGACTGGTGCTCCTCTGAGGGAAGAAGGCTCATTAGTGCCGTCGCAGCATACCGCTGCTTCGTCTAGCACCGAGGTCACCGAGAGCTCCGAAGCGGTGGGAACGAGCATTTCCACTGGCACTATCGTGGGCATCTCGGTAGGGATTGCCATCCCTGTTGCCCTCGTATCCGTTGGCTTTTTCGTCCTGTACCGGCGTGAGCAGCAAAGGCGGGAGCGACCTCGTATCTTTATAAACAATTACATATCCAACCGACTGTCGCCCACCGAGCTGCTCCAACTTACCAGCCAAGGCTTTCACGCCCGCGATGACATCCCCTACAGAGGCTCAGCGCACTCAGGCCAACCTGGTCGGCCAGCGACATCGGCAGATCGAGATAGATAGGTAAATGCCTAGAAGCGGGATATGTCATGAATGAAAATAAAATAAAATAAAATAAACAGCAGCCTTTGGGTCATTATTTTAACTCTAGCGGCCGTGTTTGATAGATGTTTGCGCCATGCTTCCCGGTGACTCTCGTCTCAGCCTTCCAGAGTGCCCTAAGCCCCAGATTCCCAGCTTGCTGGAACCAGGACGGAAGAACCCAGCGTCCATCAGTAGCTGATGTCACCCAGCAACGGGTGCCACTTGTACAAGGTCCGGCTTCAGCCACCCCCTTGCCATGGGCAGATAGGGCGGCTAGTGGCAGCCTCATCCAGTGATGGAGGGTGGCATCGGGACTTGGTCGGTTCGGGAAGCCGTCGGCTTGGACTTCCTGACTTTATGAGGACCCTCCCACAAGAACCGTTGATCAAACATCGTGAGGTTGGGTCGCCTCGTCTGAGCTTGTGGCTGGAGAGGATTTGCTTTTCTGGATACAGGATGTGTTGCGATTTCCACGCGTCCACTGGGACTGAGCCATCCATGGCAATGCCTCTGTAAATTACAGCGCATGAACATAACTGAAACATTGGGTGGGGGGTCTCGGGTGGATGCGGCGCTATCGCTCACTATCGCTCAGGCCGCTGCTGAATGACGCGATAAGGAGACGCGAGACCGCCAAACCGCGTAAATTGGATGGCGGGTTTCTTTTTTTGCTTCTTTTTGTTTTCCCTGTCGTCGGCGTCCCCCCAACAACTCAATTGACCTTCTCCTTAATTCACCCATTGCCGTCCCATTCCACCTCCCACATCCATCTCCATGACCATCTCACTCCCAATCCACGCAAAAGAAGAAGCAAAGCCCGCCGCCATGTCTTCAGCCTTCGTCCAGCGCCCTGCTCCTGCCTTCAAGGCTACCACCGTCTTTACTGCCGGCGAGTTCAAGGACATCTCCCTCTCCGACTATCTCGGCCAATGGTGAGTCTTTCGTCAGCCCCAGACCTCAGATCAGCAACCAAATCCATCCGGCGGGCCTTTACTGACGCGCCCCGTCTTATGCAGGGTCGTCCTCCTCTTCTACCCCATGGACTTCACCTTCGTCTGCCCCACTGAGATTATCCAGTACAACGACGCTCTCGCCCGCTTCCGCGCCATCAACACCTCCGTTCTCGCCATCTCCACCGACTCTCACTTCTCCCACTTTGCCTGGCAGCAGCAGCCCCGCAAGCAGGGCGGCCTCGGCCCCGACCTGGAGCTTCCTCTCGTCGCCGACCCTTCCCACTCCATCTCCCGCAGCTACGGCGTCCTCATCGAGGAGGAAGGCATTGCCCTCCGTGGTCTCTTCATCATCGACCCCAAGGGCATCCTCCGCCAGATCACCATCAACGATCTCCCCGTCGGCCGCAACGTCGAGGAGACCATCCGCCTCATCGACGCCTTCCAGTTCACCGATGAGCACGGCGAGGTCTGCCCTGCCGGCTGGATGAAGGGCAGCCAGTCCATGAAGCCCGACCCCAAGGGCAGCCTGGAGTACTTCGCCGCTGCCAATGGCGAGGCCAACGGTAACGGCGAGGCCAATGGCGAGGCCAATGGCCACAAGCGTGCCCGCGTCGATTAAACAAGGTCTCCAATCGGGATTGGGACCAGATTCTTTCTTTGGGGGCGAGGGAGCTTAGAGTGCCACATGTAATCATTAGAAGCCAGAGCTGGTAGACTGCTAAGATTTTGCTAGACTAGACTAAAACAGGAATAAGGAATTAGATCAGCCGCCCATTGGACCTTGAAGTGCCTGAATTAAACTCAGGAACAACGTGAGACCATGTCAGAAAGATTGACCTATTAGCTTGAAGATGAGACATGGCTAGCCCTTTTGAGTTCTTCGCCCAGAATCCTCACATCATATGTAAGATATGTCAAACTTGAGAAGATTGGGAGGTAACAGCAACAGACGAGCTGGACCCATGGATCGGCCCCAATCTCAGCACAAACCCTATGCAAGTTTCAAATAGTGGCTAATTGATTTATCACTGGTTCCCGACTGGACCAATCGCGTTATACGAACTACATACATGGCCAAGTTGCCGAGGTCCAATATAGAGGGGACCATGAAGGCTTGGATGACCAATCAGTGGGAGATGGCATCATGCTCTTGGTTCAGCACACGATATGATGCAATCGGCCACTGAACTGGCCATCTGCGGGGATGCCAATATATTGCAAAGCGGCCACCTGTGGAGTGGTTTCCCTCCGGAGTTGCGGAGTGACAGCACTGATTTGTAAGGGGAACACTCGCCGATACAACATTATTTGCCAGGCCAAGTGAGGTTTTATATATCAAAAATTTCCCCTTTGAAGAAATTCTGTCTGGCAAGCACAGAACAATATCTGCCGAGTTCTCGACTTCTTTCAACCTCCTCGCCTCATCATGTCCGTCCCGTCTGCTTTCAAGGCCGCTCTCATCCCTAATAAAGGTGAAGAGCCATACGTCGCAGAGCGATCCCTCGCTCCTTTAAATCCCGGCGAGGTTGCCGTCAAGATCACAGCAACCGCCATTAACCCCGTGGACTGGAAGATCCGCGACTACGGCTTCTTCATCAAGGAATGGCCGACGATTCTAGGAACTGACGGCGCTGGCGAGGTTGTCGCCCTCGGCCCTGACACATCCCGCCTCGCCATTGGCGACCGCGTCTTCTTCCAGGGAATCCTGGGCAACTTGGACTCGTCCACCTTCCAGCAGTACGCCAAAATACCCGAGGCGCTGGTGTCGAAAACGCCAAAGAACACCACCGACGAGGAGGCCGCGGGCATTTCCGTGACCACTGTCTGCGGTGTTGTCGGCTTCTACGACAAGACGGGCCAGGGACTGCCCGCGCCCTGGGGCGAGGGAGGCGACAAGGCTGGCAAAGGCAAAGCAGTTGTCATCCTGGGTGGCAGCTCTTCGGTTGGGCAGTACGCGATCCAGCTGGCTCGCCTGTCGGGCTTCGACCGCATCGTCACGAACTCTAGCCCCGCGCACCACGAGTTCCTGAAGAAGCTGGGTGCGCACGTTGTCCTGGATCGATCGAAGGCGGCCGTGGAGGATTTCGCCGAGGCGATTGGGGAGGTCCCGCTCGAGTTCGCATTCGATGCCATCTCCGAGCTCGAAACTCAAATTCTAGGCGTGAAAATCCTCCAGGCAAAGAACGTCAGCAATGCTCAGCTGATCACGGTAACTGCCGTCCAGGATGAGGCCCAAAAGCTTGGCCAGTCCAAGGAGCCAAAGGTGCTTATTAAGAACGTTCTGGGATTGGGAAGCAGCCCGGATCTGCGATACTTGAGTGAGCCGCTGGTCAAAGCCCTCGGGGATGAGGACGGTTGGCTTGCAAAGGGTGTCTCGGGTCACAAGGTTATTATCAAGCCCCAGGAGTAAAACAATGCAGCCGGGTGGAAATACTATTCTCTGTCCCTGTCCAGGGATTCGATTCGGCTGGATAGCTTGTAGGAGTAGGACATTTTTTTAGTCGAATTTCGACCAATTAGGCAGAGATTAGAGCAGAGTTGAAATATATAACAGATTTGTCTCCTATCGTTATGTGTCTACAAATTCATATATCCTCGTTTGTACATTTGCTTATTACATAGCAAAAAGGGGCGTTCTTGTTTTACTCGGATGGGTTCATTGAGCGAGTCTTGAAGATCAGATTAGTTTAATCTTACCTAATGGAATGGAATGGGAAGGAGTATCGTTTACTCTATTGCCTCCTATGTTTAGCAGAAATAAGTATAGGCCCCATCATACCTTTAACTGGGAATAGTTGTGTTTGTCTACTTTCACATTTATGTTGAATACTAGTGGAATCAGCTGTCCTTGTCTCCCTAAGTAGGAAGTGAGTAGGTGAATTCTCGTTAATTTTAGCGGCGTTTCTCGAATATTTCTATTCTTAAGGAAACTATTTTTCTGCATTATAATCTAGAAGGGCGTTAGAAGCAAATGGATGATACTTTAAACTTTGAGTTTAGGGTAGGCGACCTAACCGGTGCCCTTTGGCGATAATATCAATGATATTATAAGTCAAGTTCTCTAGAGCATGATCCCTACGGTGTGACGTAAATGTGGCCATAAATACTTTTTTTCTTGGTCCTTAATATTGCCACTAGAAATTAAGACGCATCAACAAGTGTAAGCGCTCAGCATCTTCGTGCACACATGGAGCATAGAAGAGATACCATGTACAAAATCATCCTGGCCAGCACATACAGCCCTCACTACCCACTCGTTGTCTGATTCCTGATCATATATTAAATTTCTAGCATGTGACGTACCCACAAACTCAACGCTGGACCTGCAGCTGAATTTTTCCCTTAAAGAAGCAATACCATCATTCCCCCCTGGTGAGACGGTCCGCACCGCCCACTTAGGTTTGCGCCCCACGCCCCTCTATCGCCGGCTTTTTTGCTTCTTCCGTGCGGTAATTTTCCACCCGGCGGTTTGACTGTATACGGTTTACCTAGGCCGGAGTAGGCGAGGAAAAATGGGAAAATCTCCAGTATTGGTCCGTGGCGATTCTCCTGGGTTGTAACATGTAGCGTAAGTGTTAGACGAACACTCGGTTTACTGGACATCAACTCTTTAAGAGGGGAACTGATTGCATATGTCAAAGTCCTTCCGCACTCAAGTATGAGATCACAGAGCCATATCTATTGCAGAATCTTCTTGAGCTAGGATGGGAATGTTCGGTGGTGAAATCCCACCAAACTGGATGGTGAAACGACCTGTCACTTTGGGTGGAAATCTTGTTAGTCAAACCTCGGCCTCATCGCGGCTCGCCAAGATTTGAGCAAACAACGGATTATGCTTTGCTCGTAGATCGATCTGTGTATTGGCCCGATGCTACCTGATATTTGATCAACATTGGTGGGTGATGTTGATCAGACCAGGGAATACCGTCAAATTTACTTTCTTTTTCCCATTTCTTTTTCCAATCCCCCTCCTACCCCTCCCCCCCCCTACTCGTACTTTCGATCTTAATAATTCGTACAGTACGCATATCCTGCTGGAAGGTGGTATGACGAAGCGTGCAAATACAACTCGCTGATTTTTTGGACGCAAACAGATACCCGAAGGCCCCCTAGATAATCCGGCGGAAAAGGCATATGTCATACTTACAACGAAAGCGTAATCTCTTAGGTCTGTATCCGCAGGTGAGATATGACCAACATGTTCCTTCTGTTTCGCCTATGTAGTATTTATGGAATCCAAGTTTCGGAGCATGCACAATGTAAAGGCCGTTGCAACAAAAGATCCTAATCTTCGGGAATACTCCCTTGCTCAGCTGTCTGGTATTGATAAGACAACCAATTAAGATAAAGTGAACCAATGATCGCTCTGTGTGATCTGCCATGTCTGTCTTGTGACTGAAAAATTCCAGCTTGTGGTATTCGGACAACTCATTACAGAGATAGGCAGTTCCATTGGTTCATAGCAAATGCAGCTCTGTAACTATGACGATGACGAGATTCGGGGTTCAGCGAATGGGCTTCCCGAAGGGCCAGCCCGTAGCCGCTCCCTGTGCCTGGCAATGCCCACTTCTTCATGTAATACCACACCTCATATAGGATTATATCTCCGCGGTCCCCTGAAAGGAGATTCCGGAGAGACGAAGCAACAAGGCCGGGCTGTGCTGGTCTCCAGTAAAGCACAGGCTGGAGTGAAATTTCATGCAAAAAAGCAATCTTTACAGACGGTGGCGCCTGGTTGCTTGTATAACTGTGAGAAAACGGGGTTGGGGGTGCTCTAGCTCCACACCGATGTCGTAGTTTTCTCTAAGCAGTTCTCCACTGCAACGGGAGAGGATGTCAAATTTTTAAGCATTTTTCTGCCTCGTACCCACGCCATAGCCCCCGGTTACACCCTTATGGAGTGCCCTGATATCAGAGTGTGCCAAGAATCATGGGCACAACCCCACCTACGCCAACTAAGTTGGATTAAATATCTGGATTCTCTGGTTTATCAAAATATTCGGATCACACTATTTAAAAAACTAAATAACTAGAGAATGGCAAGATAAAAAAGAGGAACATGTGGTCTGTTCTCTGGGATGAAATGTTGCGGCTGAGCCGGAAGTGCCCGGTGTCCGGACTATGAAAAAAAGAAAGGTGCGGAAAATGAACTGACATGCATGAATGACAGCCGTGGCAGCTGCCAGACAGCAGCTAACACTGATCTGAGTGATTGGATTGGCTTGAAAATGCTGCACGGAGGAGACAAGACGTAGAATGTACGAATCCCATGTTGCCAAAAACGCCACATCGGCTCTGCAAACCACTCCCGTGAGTTCCTGTCGAACTGCATTTAACTGACCGTATCTCCCTTGATTTTTTTAAAACACCCTTTCCTCATTCGTCCTCCGGTGAGATCGAAGATCGTTAAGTGGATGAAACACCCGTCACCATGGCCAGCTTCCCAGTAACTAACGGTGTAACGACCATCATTCCACCACCTGAAAATTATGTGGTTGACTTCGAGAACCCGGAAACCCAACATACCTTGGAACATTTCATGATATTCGGTTTCCTGGGATCACTAGCATTTATTTGCTTAGTGCAACGACTTTATACGAAACATTACATTGTCGGTGGTCCCCGGGCGGATGACTGTAAGTATCCTGAGTAGGACCTTAGCGAATGGATAAGTGAACAGGTAGAACTAATTATCTGTATAGACCTCATCACGGGTGCCTGGGTGGCGTCTCTGATAATGGAGTCGGTTCAAATATGTAAGCGAGACTTGATCTCACCAGCTATGAGTGTACGTTACTTACCATATCTGTGAGCCAGGGTCAATCTCGATCGGAGGTCTGTGTCACCACGCCTGGGAAATGCCTATTGAAGTTTACGAAAAGCACATGATTGTGAGTACGGACCGTTTGTTCTGGATCTTGTTCATTCTGTTGCTCACAGAGTCTCTACGTAGACCTCATATATCGCGGCGCCGGTATTTATCTTTTGCAATGGCCTTAGTAAAACGTCTCTTCTTACATTTTATCTTCGCATTTCGACACAAAGGGCGTTCATAATCACTATTTGGGCGACCATAACCATCGTGGCCTGCTACACGATTGTTATTGCTGCCTTGCTCCTGTTCGGATGTCGTCCAATCTCCGCTTCCTGGGATCCCAATGTCATGGCCAGTGCCAAGTGCGTTGACGTGGCGGCTGTCTATATTGCTATTGCAATTGCCAACATCTTTTCCGATGTCGTGCTCTTCATAATTCCCATCCCGACCGTGATGCGCCTCAAGATGCCTTTGGCTCAGAAACTGGGTGCCAGCCTCATGTTCGGAATCGGATCGGTGTAAGTGGATTGGCCGATTCACTAAGACATCTTGGACTAACAAGTTCGGATAGCACTATCGCTACATCTATTGTTCGCATGGCATACCTGCCTTCGCTCTTACACACAAACGACATCCCGTGGGTGGCTGCGCCTGCCAACGTCTGGGTCTTCATTGAAGCGAACCTGTTCATCATCTGCGGCTCCATGCCTACATTCCGAAAATTCTTCCAGAAGTTCGCCCCGAAATGGCTGGGGAGCAGTTACGGATCGCAAAATCACCCATCGAGAGGAAATACATACAAGATGTCGGGCAGTATGGTGTCTCGCCAGCATCGCACAGGCTACTCACAGTTTGACGACGCAGAATCGGACTCACTATCAGCCAAGGAGCTCCAGGAGCTCTCTGTCGCGACTGGTAAAAGACAGAGTATCGTTACAGGACATGTGACGTCTGTCGACTGTGAAGCGGCAGGGGGCTCGCAAGAACAGAATATGGACGGCAAAGATGTTCTTGATAATGGGAGAGGGATCGGTTTTACTAGGACGATCGAGATCAAGTACAGTACATGAGCACCCGGCTATTTGAGGCACGGAGACATTGTTTTTATAGTCATTCTTATTCTTATGCCCTTATGACCTACATAGATCGATACGTAATAATTGCAGTTGGTTCCTGCGTGAAAGGTGCGCGCAATAACCGGGAAAAACTTCTGGTGGCGGATGGCCAAGAAAGCCTTACATTGGATGAGGTAGACACTCTGCTAAAGCGGCTACCCGTAAAACTGATCCGCCCGTTTCGGAAACATGAGAACATCGCCAGCCTAGATGCCGTCGAGTTTGGCATCTTCTCTGGCGATCCATTTGAGATATGCCCGGTTTTGGCTTTGGAGGCGGCAGAGCTCGGAAGTCTGGATACTCTCCAGAGTAAGCCCGCCTCACAGACTCTTCCATGGAATGGTCGGACGTCACTACTCTTTGATGTTGCCGGCAGAATCAAGGCTCTGTATGACCACGGAGCTCTTCATGGTGATCTCAACCCTTCTCACATATTAATTGATCCGCACCCTCAGAGAGGACTGTCAGCCAAACTTACTGGGTTCGGGGAAGCTCACATCATTTCACATATGAAGTATGTGCTGTTCCGGATCTCTTGGGTACCGCACCATGGAGCGCCCTAAAGATCAAGGAGACGTCTATATGCCTCGGAAATGTCCTAAAGGCTGATATTTTCTCACTGGGGCTTGTTTTATGGTTTATCTACGGGATGCAGAATCCATTCACCAAGTTTGACTTGCCCATTGACCCTTCTTCGAGCAAAGGGAGCATGAAGTTCATTGTTCGTCAAGCATATCTATTTCGGTACATCCCATTCTTCAAACAACAAACAGTCAGAGAACTTGATGACAAATCTCTGAAAATGTTGGAAGAGTTGTTTGAGTGCTCAGTGCGACTCACACCAGCGAGAAGATCCGTGTATAGATATGCCCTAGAAGTCGCTTAATAGCATCAAAGCGGGCGTTTGAGTCCTCAAAGTCTTGCCTTCACTTGTGGCAAAGGAATATGTGAAGAAACTTCGGTCGATTCTGGATCCTCCCTTGAAGGAAATAAGAATTTATTGAAGGATCATCTTGGTCACTTTTCCTCTGTGATTTCTATGGCTATGGGACTCAGTGAAGCGTGTCCGCCGCAATACACATTTTGATTCGTCACCTCAGTGGTCCACAGTCACCAGGAGTTCTCATCGGTAACACTATATTTGTCCTGAAAAGAGCGCCGAGAGAGGAATTTCCAGTCTAAATTGCGTTACAAGGCCTGGATATCTCATAAGACCTGGCAGCCTTGGTTCGTGGAAAACTCTTCGCCGGCCACCAGGTGTTAATTTACTTGAGCATGGGGTCAAGGTTGAAGAGGTAGAGATCCTTGATTATTTAGATCGCGTCCGAATGGATGAAGGATTTCTCGAAAAAGACATTAGGTCTAGTAACACTTTTCTACGCATGTCCGCTATTTTCGGATTATCTGATCAGATCTCTTTCCTGGGAAATCTCCCCCAGGTAGATATTGATGCTTAACATGACCGAGGCGACACACCCGTCTACCTGGCCTTCGTCTATGGGCACATAGAGACCGTAAAAGTTCTTTTGGAGCTCGATGCAAATGCACCAATTGGCACCCATGAACAAAAAAACGGTCTCCATTGGCTATCTTCCTTCCCAAGGGAGGTAGTTCAGCAACTCGCTGACTATCTGTTTGAATGGGGGACTGATCTGGCTCTGACCGACAGGGAAGCCCTTCGATATATGAAATGGGCATCTATCGGGAGAGAGTTCGAGTATAAAGTTAAACAACAATAGAAGATGTCAGAACCAACATCTCAACATAATGAATACTAAAGTTTAAAAGAAAAGCCTCTATTAGCTTAAGGCTGCAGTCATGCGGAAGGAAAAGTAAATAAACCTTCACTCTAATGACTCACTTACCGTCGGGACGAGCCGCTCGTCGAATAACTATAAAGCCTACCCTCTTTCACCTTGCTTCCTTCGTTCGTCTTACACCAATCCAAACACTTCAACACATCAAGCTCGAGGCTTTTCGGCTTGCAAGACAACCAACCCAGTGAGTACCAGTAGTCTTTTGGCCAGGGTACTTCCAGCACCAAGACCACATATTCCTATACCCTTCTCTATTCTCTGAGGAAATGTCAATCCAAAGGCGTAACTCGTTGACAAGATCATCATTTTTAGAATGAGTTTAAAAGCCACCACACCTGTCACCTACCACTCTCTGCCATTCTGGATCCGGTACGACATACTGAAAATCCTACTGAAAGATGGCGTCAGTTGTGCCGCATTTGCCGCTGTTTCTCGCGAGTGGCAGGCAATCATCGAACGGCATAACTTTGAACGACTGAAAGTAACGCCGCAACGGCTTAATACTTTCCAGGAAATGACGCACCGTAACCAGCATCTGGTACGTTACATATGGCTATGCCTCGAAATTTCACAGTATCCGCCTTGTGCATCTTGGGGTGTCGCCGACGAGGACAATAGGCTCGTTGCAGAGGCAATCGAGAGCTTATTTTCAAGCCTTAGCACTTGGCAGCCGCTTGGTGATCTTACTCTTGATCTCAGTGTCTATTCACCCTCTGATGCGCGAGATCCGTTTTCGAGATATCTGACATTTGAGCCTGATCTGAATCCAAAGGATTGCCCCTACGCTCAAGACATACATGAAGATTCCCCGGGAATCCCTCCACAAAGTCGGATTGACAAGCTCGCTCTCATCAGACTCTTCGATGATGTTCTGTTGGGCGATGGAAATAGTCGTGAGCTTGACAATATCGTCTATTGGTTCACTGGCCGGGCAGCCACGGATCCAGACTTTCCTGGAAGACCTCACATACTGTCAGATTATGAAGCATTCAACCGGATGTTGACCGAACTAGAGCAGTCTACGCCAGATTATCACGGATTAGTGAAGTGTTGGGAGCAAATGCCTTCGGTGCCAGCGGTGACCCGCATGCTTCTCCGTCAACAAACCCGCCGATACTGGCCCCCCGAGCAGCTTCGAAAGTTATTCTCATGCCTCCCTGAGCTTCAGGAAATCCATTACGAGCCATGGAGGACTTGGGATCGCGAGGGAGGAGCCGATTTCTATAACTGTAAGTGCGGCTCCTACTTTGAACCAGCACCCATCTTATACTGACTAATCTTGTTCTTAGATTTAAAGAAGCTTCTTCCGCAAGCTTGCCTCAAAACATTGAAACGATTGATCCTGTTTGAAAATTTCAACGAGACTTACCCAGAGATGATTGGTTGTCCGCGGCTCCGCACACCAAGCCCAAGGATGAGCGCGACCCTGGCTGAAACTAGCCTCGGCCTCGAGTCTCTTTCCGCAGCATTTTCAGTTGATGCCAGCTATTTCTTCAATGCCTGCCACCCCTCCTGGGAGTGGTCTAACCTGACTCTGCTTACAGTCACGTCACAGCTGCTGCGACCTGACGCCGATCGACATCAGCTGGAAGAAATGCTTCGGGAAGCAGCGGTGGTAGCTCTGCGGATGCCGCAGCTTCAGACTCTGGAAATCTGGGAAGGGCGGAAGGGACTGGCCGCACTCTTCAAGTATCAGTCTCGGCTTCCACGTCTTACATGGAAGGCTACATGGGATTTCAGCATACCAGACTCCGTAACTAGGGCTTGGGACGAGGTGTCGATGATGTCTTGTGGTCGTGATTGCGCTGTTGTCAAGCAAGTTTTGGATGGCAGAGCGATCAAGTCCCATGCGGATTCAATCGTGCAATTGCAGCTTTCACAGACGATAGTGCGGCCAGTCTCGTTGCAACAAATCAGGCGGGAGCAGAGATACCTTGACCCTTGAACAGTGTACGACTAACATCTCAGAGGTCATGACTACTGCAACTAACCGTCCGAGAAAGACACAGAGAGGCCAGGTCTGCAGCGATCGTCTGTCAAAGGAAGAGATAGAGTTGTCAGGGCCGCGGCTGAGGCTGTCAAAGGAATAGACATCCACCAGGCTCTCAGTATACGAACAATCACTTATAAGCTCAAGTTAAGGCCATAGCGAATGTAATAGATGGATTTGATGTTCAATAATCATTGTGTTGAGGAGTCGGGTCTGACATCTTCATTGCTGTTTTTTATTTTGTACTCGAACTCTCTCGTCCGATGTTCAACAAAACAACATATGGATCAGCCATTCATTGTTTGGCGGCATTAAAACCACCTAAATTAATATCATTAGAAATGTTATCATCTCCCCAGCTAGTCATGACATAGTCTCTCTAGTGCTGATCCATAAAGACGTAGCTTTTTCCACATTACCTGAAGTAGTAATAACTATATCGAAACAAACGAAAAAAGTCAGTTATGAAGGATTCCCTCAAATTCCGTTCAAATATTATTCAAATATTGTTCCAGAACTTTCAAGTTGGATAAATCATGTGATTTTCATCTGCGCGCTATTGTGTAGGGTAGAACACACTTCCGCCATTTTCTCTTTTTTTGCTTGCTTGCTTCTCCTCCTTTCTTCACTAGAGTATCTCTCTTAGCATATGAAACAGCAGATGTCTACAATCGGGACTGGTTGTACATAGAATGCAAAATATCTTGAAGTGCAATTAAATCTCCCCTTACCCATGGACCCGCATACGCACAGGCTCACAGCCAAGCTGGAAAGCTTGGCATCCATGTAGTCATGCTGCAGGAATTGGAAATTGAGTAGTTTATTGCGACGTATTGGTGTTTTTCTTCTTCTTCTGGTTTAGTCTTTAAAGGCACAATCGGAATTTCTCCTCGAGTTCATGAGCTCATCATTGTTGGCAGACAGTTCCTATGCTAATTTATATACACGGGTGTGCAAGAAACATTCAAATCCAACCCTTATGCGGGGATCTCGCCATTCTTCTTGGCCTCCTCGTACATCTGGTTCCAGATGGCCAGCTTCTCCTCGTAGATGGCGATCAGGTCCTCGCTTCTCTTGGTAGCATCATCACCACCGAAAGCTCGGACAGCAGCGTAGTAGACTTGGGCCAGGGCGTTGCACAGGGAGGTGAAGGTCTCCGACTTGCACTGGTACTGAAGACTACATGGCAAAACTTGGTCAGCGGACAGTTTTCTTTGCCGTGGTGGTATGATTTTTGCCAGTATTAATCGTCTTGGACAAGGGGAAAAGAAATTGGGCACCAAAACGTACTCGGTCAGGAAGTTGCTGTCAATCTTAGCCTTGGCGGCCTTGGTGAATCGGGTCTGGAGGCGGTAGTTCTGGTAGCCAAAGTCGTGACGGTTGCAGGCAGGCTCGTACTTGAAGCCGAGCGGGTTGTCAGGGGAGCTGGTGCAGCCATCCGAGGACCTGTGTATCGCTGGTTAGCAAGCCGAATCCAAGGCAAAAGACAAGTCGAATTGCTTACCAGTCCACGTCGGAGGGGTTCTTGGCGTTGCGGCGTGTGGTGAAGGCGGGCAGGGTGATGGAGAAGAGAATCTCATCAACCACGGCCGTGGTGGCCCGGACTTCCATGTCGGTGATCTCGCCGGTGGGCAGAGCCACGACGGCGGAGATGAGAGGAAGGAGGACGGCAGTGAACTTCATGGCTGGAATTGGCTTGCCTGGGATGAGCTTGCACTAATTGCTGTGGACGGCGGGAGGAAATGGAAGCGAGATGCTGATCTACTTTATACTTTCCATGTCAACAACAAGACATAAACCTATTCCGTTTCCAGGGCAGACTCCGGAGGCCACCGACAACAGTCAATTCATTACATGGGCCAAGCTGCCCATTCGGCCTGGTGTCAGGTAAAGCGAGAGCTTCATCGACAGCTTGCTGCTACCTGCTTGATCTGGTAAGCAACGCCCCATGAGGATATGTCCCACGGTCCAATTGGGCACCATCACAATCAGCCTGACATGCACGTTTCAGCATCGCTCAGTTCGCATTGGTGGGTGCAGAAGGTCCCAGCCAGCGACCCGCCGGACTGCCCACGAACTACCCTTTTGATCTTCGAGATGGCTGGTTCATCCTTCTATGGGGAAGCGTAAGAGCGGGATCCTTGTGCCCATCACGGCAGACACCCCCCATTAGACCACAGTGACAGTCGCAATTGCAACCAGCTGACACCGTCCGAACCCCTGAATGGATAGCTGAATGCCGGGTTATGTGCGGGGTGAGTCGGGCGCGATGCTGGAAGAGGAAGCTTGATGCAGCGATCCCAATGAATATGCCTCAGTAAGCTTCCAAGTGAGTCGGTCAAGGTTACTCCGTATTCTTCGCCTTCTATTTTCAACGTTCGATAAATAAGCTCTGCCGATTATATTACTGTGGCCAATGTCTTACGTGACGCGTCCTCGTTTCCGCTATAGCACATGACCTATGGGCTATGCCGTAATTCAACTTCTCAACCCCTTGCCCCTGCTTTCTGTTCTGGCCAGGGCCCCGGCCTCATTTGGTTTCTCACCTAACCCTATAGCGGCTACCAGATCTGGATTACAGATCTGACCGTTCAAAAACAGGCATGTATTCCAAAGGACAAGCGACCTTCAAAGATGTGCCGCCCTGGATAGCATCACCAATGGCTTCTCCATCGCTGCCGAATTGCCTCCACGTTGATCCTGCTGGTAGATACACATTTGCTTCCCGCTCCCCATTGTGGAAAATGGGGGCAACTAAATATTTGCTACCAAACATGTAGTGCTCCTCGATTTCCCAGGCATTTCTATCTTCCGGAAAGTCGTAGAAAAGCGGTCGTATGATAGGATCACCCTTAGTATGAGCCTCACTTGTCAGGCTGCGGATATAGTCTCGTAGCTTCTCGCGTAGCTGGATATAGGCCTTGCAGATGCGGAAGATATCCTCACCGTACGACCAGACCTCATTGTCTGCCCCGGAAAGGCACCAGCTGCCCCCTGAATTGCCGAGCTGGGGCTTCTTCGGCTCGCGGTCTCCATGCAGGCGGAACACCGGGCAGAACGCGCCCCATTGGAACCAGCGCACGAACAGTTCGCGAAAGGCTGGGTCGGCTGGGTCTCCGCCATGGAAACCACCAATATCCGTCGTCCACCACGAGATGCCAGCCAGGCCGGCATTTAGGCCGGCTGCTAACTGGTTGCGGTAGCTGCTCCAGGAGCTAGCAATGTCCCCAGACCACAGGAGGGCTCCGTACTTTTGACTACCTGCCCAGGCACACCTAACCAAATTGACCACTTTCTCCTGCCCGGCTTCCTTCATCCCCTCGTAGAATCCCTGGCTGTAATAGCGGGGGAACGAATTGCCGATCATCAGATCAGGGCCCTTGAAGTAGCGGTAGTTGTCAAACTGGTATTGTGTATACTCCGGCTCCGCCTCATCAAGCCAGAATGTCCTGATCCCTTTGTCGTAATAGTTGGCTTTGGCTTTGGACCAGACATACGCCCTGGCCTCCGGGTTGGTAGCATCAAAGTGGCGGCACAGCGTGTTCCACTCCATGGCCACCATGACGCCGCGATCCTGGCGCACGAGGAGACCCTTTTCCAGCATCTCCTGGTAATTTTCAGACTCGCGATCCACAGTGGGCCAGACAGACACCATGGGCTCGATGTTGAGCGACTTGAGCTCCTCAATCATCGCATCCGGGTCCGGCCAGAACGTCGGGTCGAACTTCCACTCGCCCTCCTTGGGCCAGTGGAAGAAGTCGATCACGAGGACATCCAGCGGCAGACCTAGCTCCTTGACGTGCTTCCGGGCGACGGTCAAGACCTCCTCCTGGGTTTGGTACCGCAGCTTGCACTGCCAGAACCCGAGACCGTACTCGGGCATCTCGGGGGTCTTTCCTGTCACGTCTGTGTAGGCCCGAACGATTTCCGCAGGCGTGTCGCCCGCCACGAGCCAGTAATCCAGGGCACGTGTCGACAAGGCCTCGAACGTCGTTTGGTTCTTGCCAAAGACTGCGCGGCCCACCGAAGGGTTATTCCACAGGAACCCGTACCCAAGCGAGGAGATGGAGAAGGGGATGCTGGCCTGCGAGTTCCTCTGGGCGAGCTCGATGTCCGTCCCCTTCAGGTCCAGATACGGCTGCTGGTACTGGCCCATGCCGTATATCTTCTCCTTGGGGTCGAGGGACTCGAAACGCGCCGTCAGACGCCACGATTCGGAGCCCGGTCTGGGGAGAAACTCGCGGGCTTCGATGCTCAGCGCGCTCGCCTTGGGGTCTGTCGGGTCGATGCGGCTGCGCATGAATTCCTCAAGGATGAGGTCTCCCTTTTGGTTGTAGACCATGAGCTTGCCGCGGCTGGAGACTCGGGCCGCGATCTTGCCGTTGATTATGGCACCCGTGTTGTCGCTGCCGATTGATGTGTTGCTTCCAGGTGATGGAGGAGGGCTCTCTTCGAGTGCCCAATCTTCTGGTGGAAAGACGTGCTCTTGGGTGGCTCGTACCCGAATGGCGTTGGGCCCCCAGGGCTCAATCCGAAGCGTCTCATTTTCGTAACGATAAGTGAGGATGGAGCCTTGAATAGAGAAGGCCATGTTGTGTGAACTCGCGATGATATTTCAACTGCAAGCTAATTTATGGTCTTGCTATCATCTTCATTAAATATTGGAGAGATAAGGCGTGGAATACAAAAGTAGCTCTGATACATTTGGGTGCTGGCAGTAATGCCCAACGGGTGCTTCAGCCTAAATTCACTGCCGATCAAGCTCGATCTCGGCTCATATGAACGTTTAATGCATGTTGCATAGTTTGTCTGCCGAAATCGGCGGACAGGATAGCTTCCCCTCAAGTTTCTACATATATATTGATTGGCTTGTGGGTTCTACGACATCCGCCACCGGTGATGGGGGATTGGCGTTGCCAAGGCTGCATCTGCATTGATTGGTGGACTTGGAGGACTGTAAGGGGATATTGCAAAAACTACAGTCAGAGTGTGGTTGAGAAAAAGCTTAGTAGACCTGAACGAGGTGAATTATATTGAAGTCTAGCTAATTTTCCGCTGCCTGGCCTGGCTTAAACATCGAGATCCTATAAGCTGGCGAAGCATGAGGACTCAATATGAATTCTTTGATATCGCTTAACAGTATTTCCTATCAACAAAGGTTCCACAATAAGCTGGACAAGACTTATTATTAGCATGGCGAAGATAAAAATACATTCTTAAGTTTCAAACCGCTAGACGGACCTCAGATTAATTCAAGACACAGCTCTGTGGTATTCACACTCAAAAGTTTCTGCCATGGTTGGTTGGCGGGTTCTTTTTGAGCTTATTCGGAACCCTTGGAGACCTTTCCGGTTTCGGGGCAGGGGGAGACTTGTGGAGCTTGTTGCGAACTCTTGGAGGCGGCGGGTTATACTGTGTGAGTGGCTGAGCGTTGTCACCAGAGGTGACTCTGTGCCAGACGTCGCGAAAACCCATGATTGATGTGCAAGATGTATTGTTTCCTGCTGTGGTATGTGGAATTCGCTTCTTCGTGAAGTGGCGTTGATGAATGAAGAAATTGGATGGGGTGTACATGGCCATCTTATAGGAAATATACAAGTGTAGAGAGACACGCAATTGTGATATCGGTTCGCCGTGCATGAATACTTTGCCGAATTGGCAGCGATCGTCCTCTAGGCAGAAGTAAGAACGACTTCACAATTGTGCTGATGCACAATACTTTTGATGCACGATACTTTTGATGTGACGGTGAAGTGGTGTAGCGACCGGGGTGCCTGATGCAACAAGATGATACTGCTTACGATGATTATTGCCGTAGTTAAGGGTCACCTCTTAAAGTGCTAATGATGGGCAGATAGCTAAGTCATGTCTATAGCGATTGCTCCTCTCAGATCGTTGATGGATCTCGTAGAATAGACGCACAATAAGGGCTATGCAACAGCAAAATAGTACTTGAAGTTGGGCTAGCCTGCTCTAACATACTCATGTATAGATGACACATCTTTTTATACAATAATTTTGTCTTAAAATAATTGAGGTGTAGCTGATCACACCCCAAGGTTCTTAGCCTGCTAGTGAAAGGATATTCACAAAAGAGACTGGTTGGAAGAAAAAGAAACAGAGATGAAACATTCGGTGCTAGATTACTAACTAGTTACCTGGCCTGACCTATCTCCCCCTTCGCTGTTGAGAACAAACTTCTATTTCATCCCCTGTACTGCCCCCCCTTGCTTCTTCTTCCTCCCCTGCTGGTATCGCCTCTATTGCCGCCACCATCACGATGACGGGCCTCAAGGTCACGTCTTCTCTTGCCTCCTCTGCTAGTATCGCCTCTGTTACCGCCGCCATCACGATGGCGGGTTTCAAGGTCACGTCTTCCCTTGCCTCCTCTGCTGGTATCGCCTCTGTTGCCGCCGTCGCGATGGCGAGTCCAGAGGTCAGACTCCTCGCTGGTGCCACCTCGAGCGAAAAGTTCGGGTTCGCCCGTGGAAAGGTCGCGGCCATCAAGCTCAGATTCTTGAGCAGTGACGCCTAAGGTCGCAAAGCCTAGGATAGTGGCTGGGAGGAGAAGGCTGTCGAAACGCATCTTGGTTGTGGTAGGAATATTATCGAATAGGGGAATACGGTTGAAGAAGGCGAGAACGTAAGAGCGGGGAGATTGAGTATCAAAAACGGCTTAGTGATATACTGGAGAGTGTGTAATCACAGATTTATAGAAGTAGTCGCTAGATTGAATTCTGAGTTGCTGATAATAACTTGCTGGATGAGGGCAGTACACCTCGCTATCTTATACTTCCAAGCTTCACGCCTAGCCAAGAACCATATTTCTATTTTCGTTTAATGGGCGTGATCCATCTTTTCAGGTCATACTGTGTTATCTCGAACAAATTGTAATCTTAGCCGTCCAGTTTCACAGCTTGTTCAGCGGATTGTAGTAGGTGACCAGGAATAGATTTCGAGTAGCACTTAACTGCCGGGGTGTTTAATTAGGATTGCAAATCCCGCGGGAGAACTGGCCCGTTAAGATTGCAGTTGTCTGAAATCCGGTATATATATCTCGAAATGGCAATTGCCGTTCACTAGCTGACCAGGTACTCCACAGCTGCATGACATTTCCCGCCCGCTTCTCCAGCCGGTAGATGTACCATAGCACTTATCTTATATTGGGCGTCAAGATATGGCCACTATTATTCGTAAAACATAACCTGATCTTCACTTTTTCTGGGATTTCTATCTCCTGCAAACAGCCCAGGCACTAATTTGTACCCTTCCAAAGTACTAGGTAGCGATTGGTGTGATAACCACTTACACAAGAAGTAGCGATGATCTGTGGCCTGCCTAGATCAACTTCACCACAACTGATAATCCCACATCAAACTAGTTTTTAAAAACACCAGCAAGTACATCAATGTTACTGCTGGAGTCCCCCTCCTAATTCCTTGGAACAATCAAGGCCCCTTTCTCGGGTTACATCGATCATTAAGCTCCTTCTTATAGAGTTTTACTATCAACAGAAATCCTTTTGGAATAGTAACACTAAAGCTTTATTTGGTTAATGCCGTTAGAAGTCCCTTTAAAATAGTAGTGAATGGTACTAGTATAGTCGGATGAGTATTAGGGCAGTGGGCACATATGCTACTAGCGGACAGTAGCCGCAATTTGGAATGTTTCTCTCAGCGGTAAAACCAGACAGGCTTACAGTGATTTCATCGTCTTGATTGAATATTTAGCTGGAAGTGGAGTTATATTCCACCAGTTTTAATAATCGCCTCGTAACCAGCCGGCATACTCTTCACTTGCTCTTAAAGACAGCTTTTAGGAATAGCATCCTAGGCAGTTTTCCTGTTAAACTTAAGCAGGTAAATGAGCTAAGAATGCGATCGAACCTCATGGATTTAACAGAAGAGCACTCTATGCACGGTCCATAAAAGGATCTAAATCTTATGGCAGACGAAGCTGGCAAACCACACAGAAGAGGACATACTCCTAATGAATCACCCCGCGTGCTCAAGCACTTGTCATCAACGGACCTTGTCCAGTTCCACCGATCTTCTGTGCTGAGATTTCATGCCACAAGCAGGGGGTATCTCAGGCCGGCTATAAAAGGGTCAAAGAAAGTTAGAAAATAGAGGGAATCAAGCCTTAACATCCATACTACCTCTCAAATAAGTGTAGGTATCGTGACTAGGGTTCCACCTACGTATTCGGTGTTTCCGGCTATACCTTAGTCGGTCTCATATAGCTTATTACGGCGCCGACCTGGTTGTGGCTAGATCTAGCGTAGCATGAGACCCAGATAGATTTGAGTGAGACAGAATTTTTTGGTTTGCCGAAACCCTTGTTCAAACTCATGTTGAGATCGTTTCTCCGGTGAAAACCACCGCGTTCCACCCATGCTCTTCATTAGGACCTGGATAAGTTTAAGCAAGAGACTGGGTTTCAGGGTTTGCTAAAATCAATGTATATCTAGCGAAAACTTGTACTTTGTGGATGATGCCTTCAGCGTTATCTTTATCGGCCAAATAACGGGACGCAAAAGGTTAGACATGCTCTGTGGACTGTAGCAAAGGCCGACTAGAATGGAAAATATGTTGGTTTTTTTTTTTTACCCATGTAGCGATAGGATAGCTGCGCTTTGAGTTGGACATATTTGATAGAGTGGCAGATAAAACTACGAATGTCTATAAGCTAGAAGTGACGGCGTTAAAACTAAGGCTTATGAGGGTCTGTAGGTGTGTGTGTATACTCTATAGTATAAATTTTGTTATAGGTTCCCAGATTCTATTACGTGTAGTTTTGAAGAAACAAATGACCGTTATCCTGGATATTTCTAGACTACATATAGACAAATGAGCATATAGGTCTGAGCCAGTGATATAATTAGAAAATGCGGTAATTTTTAGAGTATAGCAAAAGAATGATCGATGGCAGGACTTTACTGCTGTCATAGCCGCTTCCGTGTTCAAGGCTATGCTCCAGAATTGTTACAATGTTAGTTAAGTGGTTTCACCCTTAATGGCTGAGATTAGCGGTCACACTCCGTTAATAGAACATTCCTTCCATTCTCTACGGAACTAGACCAGCTCTACTAGACATTGGGGCCCCTATTATGCTATCGCTAGATTCTCTCAAAATCTAGACAACCTGGGTGTCTACGTGCCATTAAGGCTCTCGGCTTTGAATTTAAGAACCTCTACTTTAGGTCAGAGTACGACCGACTTGTTGACACTCTAGAGTTTGGCTTTGAGAAAAAATTCGGTTACGCTGCTTTAAAGTCTACCGCTACGAATTTATCAGTCTTCTTCTAGACCTGGTGCGCAAAGCCGGCATCACCATCGAATTCGGCAAGAAGTTGGACCATATTGTCAACGAGCCGTAGAAATCGCCACGGAAGTTTGCTGACGGCTCTGAGGCCTTAGCACGAATGCCCATTGAGGCCGATAGAACTCATTTTCGTGTCAGACAATATCTTTACACAGCATGCAGCCTAAGTTCACTAAGATGTGTAGCATCACGGCTGCAGTACCCGCAAGCAACTCGAGCTTGCCAGGACCGATCAAATTCCCACCACCTTAATGAACCACACTCACGGCTCTTTGGTTATCGCCCCTTAGTTAGCTAATGGGTTCGAGGTCTTGATCGGGAAGCAGTTTCGCTTCGCCGGCCCCGAGCCTTATAAGGAGCGATGACAGAAGCTCCATGCGGACAAGACGTGGTGTATTAACTCTCTCCACCAGCACCACGAGTATTTCCCGCCCACTGTCGGTAAATCGGTACCTGAGATTTCAGCAAACAAAATTAAGCCTTAGCCGTTCTATCTCTTGTCTAAGCTGGAGTCTTGGATATCGGGGTCGAAGCATAGGCGGTTTATGATTGTGGGCGACTCTGCCTATGCTTCCCCCCCAACTGCTGAGCACGGTGTTAATCAGGCGTTCGAGGACATCTACACTCTCACAGGGGGTGGGTAAGGTCGACAGTTCCAGAGCCAGCCTGAGAGTATCAACAAAGAAGTGGCACCAGGGACGCCAGAGTCGAATCAACCTGGTCATTGACTTGAATGATTAAACCAATAAGCCGAGATTTTTCGTGGAAGGAGATGAGCCAGTCATAGCTCCCATCAATATGGAATGACCATACGGATTGATTTGACGCTATGATCAACGAGTTTGTGCAGGTGTAAAACATGGGCTCGTGTAGTAACAACATCAGTATTTGTCTCATTCTTTGATTTATTCATCATTCAGTTTAAATCATTGATTTATTAGCTACTCAGGCAATATTCTATGCGTATTTCTCATAAGCCCTGGGTTTCATTGCAGCCTAAAGCTTCAGCATAATTGAATGTATCGCGGTAGTGGAGCAATGGCCAGGCTTCCAACAATTAGGTCATCAAATCGTCAATGTGTATCAACTAATAATTCCGTAGGCATTGAACCTTCTTCTTCCATCATCCCAAACTATTATTCAACACAGCTGTACCCGCCATGACCGATTCCGAGACTAAGCCACCAGTGATCTGCGTCTTGTATGTTTCCAGGCGCAACGAAATGCTTAAAGAGTATGTGAGAATAAAAGCACTGAGCGCTGACACGGATTTGATAGCTGCGGATCCTCGTCGGGCACCAACCCCGTTCACCTACAGGCAGCAAGAGACCTAGCTGCCGAACTTCACAAAAACAACGCCCAGCTTGTCTACGGAGGTGGCACTTTCGGGCTGATGGGTGAACTTGCCAAGACACTTGTCTCGCTCTCGGGACCCGACGCAGTTTACGGCTACGTCCCTCAAGGGATGGTGCAGCTGGATAAGGATCGCCAAGGGAAGAAAGTCATAGCTTCAAGTGTGACTAGCAAAATAGAGCGTGTCATAGTGGATGAGGAGATCATGGATCCCGAGTTCGGTCGCGTCTTGCTAGTCCCGGACCTTCACACTCGCAAGAAAGCAATGGCGCAGAAAGTCCTTGAAGGCGGCCCAGGCTCGGGTTTCATTGCCTTGGCTGGCGGGTTCGGCACTCTCGAGGAGGTGCTGGAAATTGCCACGTGGAATCAAATGAAGATACATAGTAAAGGGGTTCTGTTGTTGAACATTAACAACTACTGGGACCACGTGGTAGCGTGGGTGAAGAATGCCACCGAAGAAGGTTTTCTGTCTCGTGCGAGTGCTGGGGTTGTTATGGACACCGCTGACGTTCAATCAGCCTTGGGACTTCTAAGAGACTTTGAGAAGCATCCATCTGCCTTTTAGTTGGCATGGAGCAACTAGGAGCCGAGTCTTCTCTTCTTTTGAAACCAAGTTCCAGAAAGATCCTAGAATAAGGACTTAAAAGGTGTATCTACGTGCTGGTTTCTATTAGATTAGAATAGGCGATGTAACTTAGATAGGTACCTCATGGTATCTTCTACCTCAAGCCATATTAGTGGTATTTCACGTAAGCCTTCATTAATCACTGCCTGATGAAGGGGTTTTTAAGCCAACTTCTCATTTTGTATTCTTTTAGACGCATTGCTCCGGACGTCGTTGCGAGGTTATCATACCTCCAATACCCCAAAATGCGCTGGTGATGCTTGGATATTTTGAGCTATTTTGACCACATTACTATAATTAAATGACTGGTACTGAACTTGCACCACAGAGTACCAACTTTTCCTGATCCGACCTGGTTAGTTGGTCAGCGCGGGCCACTGTCGCGGACGGTTTGGTTGGTTTCTACCAACATAACCTACCTCAAGGTGTTGGGGCCAGCAAGGCCGTTGCGGCGCAGGCCGCGGAACATTTCCCAAACGCGACATTGCAGGCGATAATTGCTGGTGGCGCTGCAGCTCCTAAGGTAGCACCCCAAATGAAACCGGCGGCGCCGTAGCAAGCCATGACAACACCAGCGCAACCGCCTTGGCAGACACCGTATGCGATAGGTCCTGCTGAGACTGATGATGGGAGCGTGGCAAGCGTAGCCACGAGGGACAAGGGCTTCATATTCGAGGCGATTCTGTTGACACGCGTCTTTCGAAAGGCGATATGACTTCTGTAAACTTTTCAAGAAAAATTCACCAATTTCTGAAACTCGGAAAATGAATCGAGGTGGCACCTTATTCATATACGGGAGCTGGAGAGCTTCACCTCGTACATGATGTCATAACTGTTTCAGTCTGACGTAAATCAAAGCTTTTTCCAGATCATTAATGAAACCCTTTTTGTAGATATAATTTTGGCTGGTAATAGCTGAAATTATTTAATGTCGCGGTGTAGGGCATGCATGAGGTATAGTCTTAGGCTCTATAGTTCTCATGTATAGGCCGGACAGAGATGTTTTCGGCGGTGCAGCTCCGTGGCTTCAATTCCATGACTTTAATCAGGATAAGCGATTGCGTTTTTCCATCTCAATCTCGAAACACAGAGAAACTGTGGTTAGGCAGGAGAATCAGTACATCCATCTAATAATATTCACTGACATCTTATCTTGTTTTAATGATCATAAACTGTGAAAATTTTACATTATGGCCTGGGATTACCCCAGCTATTCAGGAGGTGCTGCGCGTCCAAAAAATGCTTGATTCTCAGCACCCCAGCTCACATTTCTAGTTTTTGAGGCTTAATAAGAACCTATCTTCTGACACATAGACACCACTCGATGTGTTCCAGTCTATCTCAAAAGTCCTCGGCATTTGTTTTCAGATTTTAATATGAATACAACGGCGTGTATCACCCCTAGGTAAACTATAAATATTAGCTTCCTACTGTAAGAATCCTCTACGGAACGCAACTCAACTGCTTAGTATAGGGATGTCGAGTCTGAATGTATCTCAGTCGAAAGGAGTATTAATGAATGATGGTCCACTTTGAACCATAACCATCTCTCATTGCTTAAACATGTCTTGAAATCCCGAAAATTTAGCAGCCAGGCAGTCCATTAGGCGGTAGCCCACTTAGCATGGTACTCCTGCGCCCAGCTGTATAGGTCCAACTATCTCCGAAATATCCGGTCTATGTGATTTTCCGTTTTTGGATTGAGGCCATACGTACAGGGGTGCTAGTAATGGATCTAGCAAGGGAAATCATGCCACGAATTCTGTTTGTGTAAACGCTGTGCAGATGGTGGCTAGTCTCGCTGCATCCTCCGACATCATGTCCACGCGGAGATAGGAGTTAAGGGGAATTGAAACAATAGATGATGAATACGGACTACATGTTTATTGAATTCCTTTCAGCAGACCACGGTAAATATAAATATACATAAAGAAACAGCATTTACGAAATATAGGTTCTTCACGTTGTTAATATTAGTAGCTTCCGCTAGCTTACTGCCGAGATAACAAAATGGCTGCCGTGTCCTACGTCCTTCCTGCCAAGCTCTCCGGGGCTCTGAGCGACCGTGAGCAGATCACTGACACTCTATATCGACTTGTTCTTGCCTTCGACCACGCCGACGAGGACCTTCTCCAGTCCGCTTTGACCGATGATGTGGTGGCTGAGATAGTTGGGTTCCCTAACAGCAAGGGAATTTCGGAGGTGAAAGAAGCCATCTTCAGCCGAGTTTCCAAACTCGAGACGACTCACAGCCTTTCCAACATTCGCGTGAGCATTGAGAACGCCACTTCTGCCAGAGCCTCGTGCACTTCGGTAGCTCAGCACGTCCGGCCCGGCAAAGGCTTCGACCGGGGGCCACACAGACTTCTTGGGGGAGGATTTTATATCTGTGATTTGGTTAAAGAAGACGATCTTTGGAAAATCAAACAATGGATGGTAAAGCCTACCTGGTACGACGGCGACCCAGCCATTGCGTATGAGGCATAAGAGACGGAACCGGATGGAAGTACAAGTTGGCTAGTGGGTTCTAATCAGAAATAGCCCAGCTGGATCATGTAAACACTTCAATGTTCTCAGCAGAATTCTTTGTTTTAAACTAACGCTTGAGAGCATATTTGTTCAACATTAATTTTGCACACATTGAGGTCCTCCTAGGAGGGAACACCACCGGATACTCAAGTATCCCTTCTCAAGTACATAAGTGACAATGGCAAAAAAACAAAAATTACCTTTCACATCCTAATTTTTATTTTACGATCTGATGTGACATGTCTAGCGTCATCGTCGCACTGTTCTCTAACCTCTCGAGGAATGGAAGATAGTCATCAACCAGATATGGAAGTCCAAAATAACCCACACATATTAAGACCTCATCAGCGCCACGACCATTTCGGACTAAACATGTCAAAGATTTATCTTCTACATGAGTTCTATCAGTTGCCTTAGAGTCCTTCCCTTCTCTCCTATCAAGCAACGCTAGGAGATTAACGGCATTACTAGGACAAGAATTTACGCTGGTGAGCAAATCATGGGGATGCATACTGCGTAGATAGCGTATATCAGGGTATAATTGTCCCCAATAAACAGAATTCCATCGCTTAGGGCATCCTAGATACTGATTCTCCAATAAGAATGGACTTCTCGTTATTGATGCCAAATACATTCGCTTGTGAAACTACTCTGGTTGAGCCTACAACTTAATTTGTCGAGCATATTCTGATGCTAATCAGGTAATGAATTGGTGTAAGGCTCCTTATATTCAGCCTAGTGCCATATTCATGGACTTGGATTGATCACATGCATGAACAATAGAAGTAGCGATTAGGCAACATAACACCGCCGTACAGAAGGCAGTCAAGAGCAGGCAATCGATCCTTCAATGGGGTACTTCGCAGTGCTTCGTTTCGTCTTAGAAGGGCCTTTCCTCAAGTCGCAACGGCCTCATACTTGCATTAAGAAATGAGAGGCTGCAACAACCGGCCTTTAACGCATACTTAAATGTCAGCAATTTGAAACACTTGATCTACAATAAATAGACCTCTCGCGCGCAACGACCAGATATTAATCGAACATATATAAATATGTTTCTGAGACAGCGCAATATTACCAGGAGTGGCGTCAGGAGGATATGGGAATAGGGATTGTATCACGGATACGTAATGCCATAGCACTGCCCTGTAGATCTTGTCAGATTACAGAAGGCAGCATAATTCTCCCATTCTTGCTCATGTGCACCATGCACGTATATTGAGGCGTAAGGGAACTTTCCCAGGACCTTTTGTTCATTTCCGTTTCGGGCTGTCTCTATGCCAAGGGTGACTTCGGGGCGTATAAAAAACCTCAAGTGTACTCAAGCAGTAGTTATAGGCCAAAACTTCTTTCAAGCCGCGATCGAGGTCTTGGTGAAAATCAATTTGGTGCCCTCCATATATCACATAATATGTTTTCAGGATGAATTCCAACCGAGGTATTGTTGAAGGCACGGAACAAGAACGCAGCGTAGAGACGGGGGAGGAGAGGAGTTCGGGGTAGCTGTTGCATAATAAAAGATTAATACTGCAGATATTAGGCAGGGATCGCGGATCTTTTGCTCTTTGGAAACCCGCTATCATGACGCATGAATGGTTCCAAGCGGCTCTGTATCCTGACGCTGCCTTGAAATAGGTGGGGATCGGCGAAATAGCAAAATCCGCAAGTTCCGAGCGCAGGAAGACAGAAGGCGCAGCAGGCTAAGCTGAGGCATTGATCTTCATCTAGGCTATACGCATACGACGACGTGCGTACGCGAATGAGCAAACCGTTCGAGCGACAAACCAGGCCCGAGGTTTCCGTAGCGGTAATTGGGTTGCTCCAACTCAAGCCAGACCAATGAAAGGTCACCGTCTCCAAATGACTTCGTCAGATAGAGAAAGCTTCGTGGCAGAAGAAGCCAAATAGGAAAGATGCATGAAAAGCTATTCCCATCTCCCCAAGTTGAGTCAATGGACGGCGAAGCTTGGGCCGGTCACTGGCTGTGCGGAAAGCTATGCGGAAAGCCAGGCTGGATCTCCCGCTGAGCTGTCAGTCCCCGCTGCAACACAATCAGCTTACTCCCATATCCATTATTTGCTGGGATCTTTACTTCATTGGACTTAAACCGAGAATACCAATATATAGTTGTGGAACGTGTGGATAGCACGGAGAACTTGTGTGTCGATCTTTCGCGCACCCGGTCTTGTAACCTCGGAAGCCATGCAACATGAGTCAGATGATGATGCAGGAGAAAATCGGCGAAATCATAAACTGTAAACACCCTGGATGGAAAGAAATATATAAACTCGACGTACAGCCGCCTAAACTGGTCCTTCTCCCATCCCATCACTCTCAACCAATTCCTCAGTACATCCCTTCGAACAAGACTATCTACTCAACCAACATGCAGTTCATCAACCTCATCGTCGTTGCCCTGGCCAGCTTTGCTGCCGCTGCTCCCAACCCAGTTGCCCCCGAGGCCGACGAGGCCAACATCGAGAAGCGCGTGAGTCCTTAGTCCTAGGGTTCTGCCTACGTTGCGGATATATGTCCCATGATTGAAAATATAGTTCACTGACTTCGTCACAGTGCTCTGGAAACTATGGAGCTTGCGCTTCTCAGGCTGACTGCTGCTCTGGTTACCAGTGCTTCACAAAGGGTGGATACTGCGTCTAAAGTCATAGAGAATAGGATCGCCTGTTATAGCTATTGAACATAGTCACAATGTTTAAGTGGATATTGTAACATACCACAGTAGTTAGTTCTAAGGAATGTAACTGCTTTTACATTGTTTCCTCGCTAAGGCCGTTAGGCTCAAGGACAGGCAACACAGTCTTTGGGAACATGCTCAATGTGAGTAATACCTTCGAACTTGGTGGCCTCAGTGCGTTAGCGTGCGGGCTCCTATGAGACTTCTAGAGAGCCTGGCGGCGACTGGTCCTAAGGCTGGATCGCAGCAAACCTAATCTTGGGCTTGATGCCGGGGCAAAGACATCCTGGGTTCTTCCTTTAACCACTGTGACTGTTAGAGATAGTTTGCTACTTCAAACGACGATGCGTGCGTTTATATCAGCCCCTGCATTAACCAATAATCTCACCACTTCCTTGTGCCCCGTCATAACTGCAGCCAGAAGAGCATTCCCATACTCGCCTCCTTCTGCATTCACCTGCGCACCATAGCTCAGAAGAAGCTCGACGACAGAAGCATTCCCATTAGCTGCAGCCTCCTGAAGGGCGTGCCCGTACTGCCCGCCTCTGACATTGACTTCAGCGCCTTGGCGAAGCAGTGCGTGGACCAGATCGTCGCTGCTACCGCAGCAAATGGCAGCTTGGAGCCCGTTTCTATATGCACCTTGAGCATTCACGTCTGCATCTCGAGCAATCAGGAGTTGAGCAACATTCTCATGTCCACTGCTTATCGCAGCCTGTAGGCTATTGCCAAATCGTCCATTCGGTGTGTTGATGTCGATACCGTCATCGAGCAATTCTTGCAGTAGATCCTGAAACGTCTGGGGGGTGGAAGGCTCGGTCTTGAACAATTGCCCTGAATCATTCGGTAGAGTCTTATTTTCTCGACTGGTTATCAAAGAGTCATTGTGAATGTTGGACCGGGTAACTTGATGAGAAGCGCCACTCATGGTCTTAACCACTCCAAGTTGCGTCTTACTTCCGGCACCCTCTTCCACAAGTATCTTGGCTATGTCTTGGGATTCCATCATCAAAGCGACTGACAGTGCGGTGAAATGCGTGGCTTGCCCTCCGAGATCTCCATTCTCTATAAATCGCCGCAGCTGTAGAGGAGGCGTACCATCCGCAATTATTGGCGCTGCTGTGACTGTACTAACTGGTCCATCAGTCCGAGAATTAACTCGAGCCCCGGCATCGAGTAATTTTAGAACCACATTGTCTCTACCCGCGAATGACGCTGCTTGCAGTGCTGTACCAAAACACCCGCCAGTGGCATTCGTATCAGCGCCTCTCTCAAGCAGGAGACTGACCAACTCCTCCTGATCCGTCGATGGGCCCGGCGAACGCACGCTTTTAGGCGAGGGATAGCCAAATGCAGCGGCCTGAAGAGCATTGCCATAAACGCCGCCTCTAAGATTAGCATTTGCTCCATGCTCAAGCAACATCTTGACCGCCGCGATGTTGCAATGCGCAGAAGCAGCCTGGAGGGCGTCCCCATACATTTTATTATACGCATTAGGATCGACGCCGGCAGTTAAGAGCAATCCTAGTATCATTGTGTGTTCCGGGCCGAGTGCCACGGCTGCTTTAAGCGCTTCTCCGAACTGGTCAATGTGAACCTCAGTCGCGTATCTGAGCATCAGTCGCACTATATCTGGGTAGTTCTTCTGTACAGCGCACTCCACTGGGGTTTGTCCAGTGCGCTTGTCTTTTTGATCGAGACATGCGCCTTGGTCAAGGAGCCATTTTGCCATTTTGAGACCTCGAAAGTAACCTTGCGCAGAAATCATCAAAGCACAGCCGTCCTCGTAGCTCTGATAGTTAACATCGGCGCCCTGGTTTATCAAGAGCCTTGCAATTCGAGTGCTTCCATGTTCTACGGCGGCTAGAAGAGCACGGGAGAGCCTCTCAGGCGTCTGTTCTACAACCTCTGGTCGTTGCAAGAGAAACTTGACCATGAGTTCATGCCCACTTCGAGCAGCATGATAAAGTCCTTCGCGCAGGACTGTTTTCAGATCCTCAATGTCCCCAGTCTTGATTAGTTCAGTTGCTATTTGCACATAGCCGTTAGCACAGGCAGTTTTGAGGGCAGCCTTGATGAACTCGGAGACCTCCCGGGACTCATCGCAATCACCGCTGCCACCGAGCTTGGCCCCTGCCTGTCGCAGCACGCCTAGTGCGAGCTTGTGACCTTTTGAGACGGCCGCCAGTAGAGCATTTCCCCAAATAGTGTGATCGGAAAGGTGGATATTAGTACGTAGGAGTTGGCTGACAACCTCAGGATTGCCTTGGTTAGCCGCCTCCCAGAGGATATTTTTTCCTGGTCCCGGATCAACCGAGTAAATGTCTAACCCTTCTTGTCCGAGGAGGAGCTTAACGATTGTAGAGTGGCCCGAGGTGACCGCGGCTTTGAGAGCGAGATTGAGACCCTTTATAGGAAGCTTAGAGTCGTCATTGGGCAATGGAAGAAGAAGTCGCACAATCCGCTCTGATCCATGAGAGGAGGCTTCTTGAAGCAAGTGGCTCCTCACCTCTGGGTCTACTTCAATGCGGGAAGTCGTCTTCGCAATTAGCAACTTTGCTAAGCCTGCATTATCATCGGACAAAAGGTCTTTGGTAATATAGCCAATCCAGTTAGCCATCTTGGCGAAGTCAAAGGCCGAAGAAAGCAATATCCTCACCATGTCCTCCCTACGACGACAAAATAAATTGATAAAGCCTCCCTGCAGCTGCTCAATATCATTCGCCAGCAGGTATCGGAATATTAGCTGATCAACCTGGCGGCGCTTTCTCCAATGTTCGCGATCGCACCACCCACTTGACTGGAGAGCCTGTCTGCATGCCTTCGCTGAGAAGCGCTTCTGGCGAGATAGCAGGGCCTTGACAATCTGAGTTGAACATAAATTGGCAGCAAAATTTAGCACTGCCTCCTCTTGAGCATCAAGATCCACACCCGCCGATAGAAGCTGCTCCGCGACAGCAACTACATCCTCGTTCGATACCTCGTTCGATACCTCGTTCGATACCTCGTTCGATAGATAAAAACGGTCCGGGTCGAGTTTCGATAGAATATGACAAAACAGGCTTTGAGTAGTTCCAGGAACCACGGCATTGGGGTTGGCACCCTTATGCAATAAAACCCCGGCTAACACTTCGTCGCATCTAAGGCAGGTTTGCACTAGAGCTTCATCAAGGCATAATTCAATCCCCCGATCTCTTGCCCAGTCTAGTAATATCTCCATCTTCTCTGCCTTCTCGGAACTTCCGATGTTGTTCAGTGCGTCTTGGACGTCGTTTCCGCAGCCTTGGTCCAAAACTAGCCGTAGGATATGAACATTCCCCCACTCGGCTGCGGCTTGGAGTGGACGACGACCGTATGGGAAGTGTAGAGCAGCCCCAGCATCCAAAAGAAGCGTGACCATCCGCTTGCAACCTGCCTGAAAAGCCACCGATAAAGGCCCTTCACCCCCAGAGAGCTTTAGGTTCACCTCAGCTCCATGGGCAATCAGCATTTCAGCGGCCTCTCTTTGGCCATTTCTGATGGCAGCATGGAGTCCGCGGCCTAGCTGGTGTACATGAGTGCTAGCATCGTCGTTCAATCGTCCTTGCTCAATCAGTTTAGTCACGACCCGCGTGTGGCCAGTACTGGCGGCTACTTCGAGTATATGACCCCTCAATTTCTCATCTATGTCACGTTCAACGCTTGCTTCAAGTAGCATATTGGCCAACCGCCTATTCGCAGTGCCCTGTGCCTGGGTGATACAGTAGATGGAATCATCTGACCAAACGATGGCTTCCATTTTGGCACCATGACTTAGCAACATGCGTATCATATCTAGGTCACGCCTGTCCACGGCGAGTTGAAGGGCTTTTTGGCGATCCGCGTCCACTCCTTTTGAAAGGAGAAACTCGATAACCTCGGGGCAGCCATTTGGTCGCTCAAGGCTTGGCCTGTTGGGCCACTCGAAATCACACTCTCGTACTTGACCGCTGGAACTGATCGCTGCTCGCAGTCCATCATCGATGTCTTGGCTGCTCACGCTACTGCCCTTTAAATCGAAGAGAAGGCGAACAACGTCGAGATGATTCATGGCAGAAGCTAGATTCAGCATCTCTCTCCAATTTCGAGGGTCTGTCTCCCAATCGGCCCCATGGGATATCAATAGACGCATTGTATCAACCTGGCCCATCTCGGCCGCAATATGCAGCGTTGTGCCCAGCAGTAGAGTGTTGGGGTTGGGATCTGCGCCGGCCTCAAGCAGCAGCTTTGTTATCTCGATACTGCCTCCAAGTACCGCTGCTTCAAGCACACTACCATATACTCTGCCATTACTGTGTGTTTCCGAAGTTCTCGCCCTCACAAGACTTTCGTTAACGTCAGCGCCAGCCTGGAGCAGGATGCGTGTAGTTTGAAGCTGCTGCTTCTCTGCTGCAGCAAACAGTGCAGCGGTATACCATCGCCCTTTAATGTCTGCATCCTTGGCTCGCATTAACAACACTTTCAACACTTTGCAATGACCTCTGGCGGCTGCAAAATGCAGCGCTTGCTGGTACGAGAACTCTCTTATGTCGACGCAAAAGGTTTTTTCGAGGATCGTTTCGACGACCAGGTCATGTCCTCTAGCCGCCGCGGTGAGAAGACACGCAAAGAACACGCCTTTGGATAGGCTCTGCTCCGCCACGTCCTTTAACAAATGACGCACTAGCTGATGATAACCGTGTGCAGCAGCAGCCATGATGGCAGTTCCGTAGAACCCCCCACGAATATCCGGGTCTGCTCCTGCTTGAAGCAGGAGCTTGACAACCAGCAAATGTCCCTGGGCCGCTGCAGCTTGAAGAGCGTTGTGATAAGTTCCCCCAGTCGCATTAGGATCAGAACCAGTATCCAGCAAGAGTTTGGCTATTTCGCTATGCCCGCTGGCAGAGGCAGCCTGAAGCGCGGTGGCATGCAGTCTTTGGTGCAGAGTCCGCTGAAATTTCTGTCTCATGAGCTCCCACTCCAGCTCCTCGACGATTTTATGGGGCGAAATGAACAATGCCTCGTGTCTCCTAGTATATACCGTTTGCCGTGGCCGCTCGCCGAGGAGCTGTGTCATGAAGTTTTTGTCTCGAATGAAAATCCCCTCCTCAAGTGTCTGGTCCACACCTTGGAGAAGCCGCTGTTGAGCTTTCGCAATACTGGATTGCGAAATAACTGATCGAGCCAGAGATTGGCTTGCAGAATTCCAAGAAGCTTCATCGCTTGGTATCTCGCATTCAAATGCTTCCTGTGCGAGCTCAACGCCTCCGTAGTCATTGTCTTCATCGACGCCCGGATCATCATGGGCGCCAGCCTCCAGCAGTTTTGTGACGATACCGATATGTCCCCGTGCAGCGGCAGCCTGTAGTGCGCTCCTATAGTATCCCCCTCGCGAATTGAGATCTCCGCCTCTCTCTAGCAGAAACTGTATGATTGATCCGTCGCCTCGAGCAGAGGCTGCCTGGAGGGCATTCCCGAACCAACCGCCCTGTGCATTGATGTCCGCCCCATGCTCAGCCAGCAATCTTATCATGCGAGCGTGACCACGGACGGCAGCTAGCTGAAGAGCAGTTCCATATAGGCCACTAATATGGTTGACTTTTGCCCCCTTTTCCAGCAGTAGCTTAGCTATCCCGATATGGTTATCTCCCACGGCGGCTTGGAGCGGTGTAATGTGCTGTTCAGTCTCTACATTACAATCTGCCCCGTGACTGAGAAGAATTCGGACGTTTTCCTCATAGCCACGATAACAGGCTGCGTAGAGCGCGTTGGAGTACTTCCCTCCCTGTGTATTAACCCGAGCCCCATTGGCGAGTAGTAGGCGAATAACTTCATGGTTACCTCGAGCCGAAGCTGCCTGAAGTGCGTTGCCATACTTCCCACACTCGGCGCCGACATCCGCACCACGCGATAGCAACAGAGACAACGCCTTGACATTGCCATTTGTTGCAGCCGCCTGCAGGGCATTCCCTAAAAGGCCACCCATGGCATTAACATTTATTCCACGGTGATTTATTAGTAGTCGGACAATCTCCTCATGGCCCCCAATGGAGGCGGCTTGGAGCGCATTGTGGTAGTCTCCGCCCGGCGATGGTAGCTCTGCTCCGTGTTCAAGCAACGTCGCCACAGTATTAGTGAGCCCAGCCAGAGCAGCATAATAAATTGGAGATCCCAGCGTGTAAGACTCGGGAGTAGTATTAAGCCAAGGACGATCGGGGTTATAGAGCAGACTCCATATCCGTCTCGTCTTGTCCCGGGTCAAAAATGTGATAGACGCCTTCCTTACTTCAGGGAGAGTTTCTGAGGCCTCAGCATGCTCGAGCCAGTATCTGGAGGAAAATTGCGCTAATGGGAATTGCTTCTGAATAGCTTCCGGCGATTGACCTTCCTTGATGTGGGAGAGATACGCCACACATACAGTGGCGATAACCCCGTGTGCCAGCGTCGAATTCGCCACGTCGTAGAACATGTTCGACGGTGTGAGCGAGAGCAAGTATTCCTTCACCGTCGCGTGAGCTAGTTCAATGAGATCCGTAGAAGTGTCGTCAGTGTCTTTGCTCAGCCCAGATGCTCGCGTAAGAAGACTCGGGCAAATGTCGAGAACACCCTGGGTATCCGGCATCCTGCGATCTATTTCAAACGGAGGGTGCCTCAGAAGGTCCACAGCAGCCGCATCCACCAGTTCTTCGGCCCGCATCGGCCTTTGGCTGTAAACCATGAACTGTAACATGCGTATTACCCTCTCATGGTGGTGACTTTCGATTCTTTGGAGTATCCTGTCGTACATTTCTTCTAGCGTGGTTGGCAGGCGCTTCAGTTCCTCCTCTATTTGCCCGATATCAACGCACGTTCTAAGGACTTGTAAATGACACGCTACAAGTCGAAACCTGAGTTGGCAGTGTTAGCCAATATTAATCAACGCTGGCAGATGTAGGTGGCTTACATTCCATTAGCTCTCTTCATCATCTCAGCCTGCATGGAGCTTAGAAAACCAGGCACATTTCTCCATCGATTGAAGTTGAGGTCGCCCTGCACCGTCTCCTGTATGTAGGTGGCAATGTCAACGTTCACCATTTGACTGTCTAGAGACGCAAACTGGCTCTCCTCGTCGAGCCAGTCTCTCATCGCCGATTCGATTCGGCTTTCGTCTCGACTAGTGACCAGAACAGAAACATCTCTGAGCTCCATAGTGAGATTTCGCATCCAGGTTAGAACTTCATCCGGTGTGTTACACTCGTCCAGTGCGTCAATCACAAGTCGAATGGGCTCGTCTGTACTCTGAAGCATTGCCAGGAAGATCGCATTCAGGTCCCTAGGGAGCAGCCGTTTATCGCCATCTACATACTTTTCCGCAAAAACTGTCCTGAGATTTTCCATGGCTTTATTCGAGATTGAAGACAACTGCGAGATGAGCGATCGAAGAAGATCATCCAGCGAGGACTTATCGCGGTCCCTCGTATCGAAAAAGAAGTATATGGGCGATAAGTCTCTGCCGCGCCGGTCTGCAAGGAGCGCAGAGATCACTTGAGAGCTTAAGACAGTCTTTCCAGAGCCTGGCAGTCCCCGTACCCATAGAATACGACGAGTTCCTAGCATCCACTCTCTGAACTTATCGCCCTCAAGAAACCATGAGCAAGTGCCACAATGATGTTTTTCTAGGGCGTTGGCAAGATTGATGTATGGGTCGGGAGCCGAAAGCCATTTTCGCAGACGTTCTTGCTGCTGTTTCGCATGAAGATTTCTCACTCCGTTCCCGAAATCATTGATACTGCTCTCGACTTGATCAATAATCAACCTCATGTCGCTTGCAGCAAACGGGAAGAACTATGCAGGGAGCTTACTTGACTCAAGATGCCCTAGAATGTCAGCCGCCCTAGAAGCTTGCTGTACATCGGTTGCGCGGATGAACAAGAGTAGCTCTTTTGCACAAGCTGCTGCGCTTGCTGCTGCGAATCGATGCCATTGGTCGTTTTTGTGCGAATCTGCATAATCCGAGATGCCCCGAATGACCACGCAAGGGAAGTTGTTCATGAGCCCTGCGGCCTCCATCTCCAGAGCGATGGCGTTGTGTGTAGCTCCGATAAGATCCCTAGTTAGTGCATGCTTGACGACCTCGGAGCCTGTCGCAATAACGCCATAGTGAATGGCGGGAGTAGTGCCAGATCGAAAGGCTGGGATTCTCCTTATGGCTTTTCGGCGATCGCAGTTCTTACACGACCTGCCTCCTTGGTGCACGTAGTTTACAGGGAAAAGAATGTCCTTGGCCTGTCCTGGATGCAACCACTTCTCTCGCGTCCCCGGCGGGAGTTTTTCGACCATCTGCTTCATATACTCGGTGATGCGATTCTCGCGTAGCTCATGGTCGGCTTCCATAGTAGACAACGCAACACGCAGGACTCTTGGAGGCTGGTTCAGATGATATGCGACCTCAAATGACCCGCCTGGCAGCTTTTTCCCCGAACCATATGCAACAAGACCGCCTGTCTTTTTGTCGCTGCTGATGACTACATCGCCAAGACGCACATCGCCCTCAGCCAAGCCCTCGTCCTCCTGGTCCGTGTTTTCATCGTCGACACTCCCACTGTCGCCTTTCCAGCTCGGTATTCCAGCTCCGATGCCAACCATCAATCCAACGCGGATATTGGGGAAAATACCGAGCATATCTCTGGCAGACACGGCGGCTGAGCTGCCACCGACCTCACCTCTAGGTAGGCATGCGATGACGACCTTGTGGGAGTGCAAACGTCCCAGAACATAGCTGTTGCTGTCTTGCAAAGGTGGAGGCGACTGCAGGATGCCATGCTCTTCGTCCAGCATCCCCCTTGCGGCAGCTAGTTCGATAGGCAGTGCGGAGATCCATCCTATCTCATACGCATCGTTCGGGAATGGGGAGATCGACACCTCCATGTCAACAGAACTATCTTTGAGGGCCACCGGGTGCGAGCAGGGCCCAGCTTAAAGTGTCGTAGGCATGCCAGCACGAGAATCATGGAAGGCGAACGAATCACCACAAGCAAACACTTACCCGTCAGCTGAAGATGAGGTTACATCAGGCAACGACTTGGCTCTTAGACCGGGTCTGTGGCTGACGCAGGACTCAAGTATGCCTCAAGCAAACCTTGTGGCTTTACGCAAAGGGACCCCTGCCACCCACCTGAGCAGGCCAGGCAACAAATGGCACACCACATCCCCATGAGGTGCAGGCGAGTTAACGGAATACACCGCTATAAATGGGACTATCCGGCCAACATTATTTGACGCTAAGAATCCCCATTGAGGCAGAAGACATCGGTGGTCACGCGCGCAAATTGGAAGGGAAAAGAGTTGCTGTGACTTATCGGAGAATAGGGTAGGAGCGAGGTACCGATTATTTGCACTCTTCTAATTAGCATTGCTTCTGAGAGCATATACGCCCAATCAAAGCACGTTTTCCTCATCCATATGTCTTTGGATTTGTCGGCAGTAATGAATTTGATGTGTGAATGGGAACACTGGCTCTGCGTCTGTGCCTACGTGCAGATTCTAGGCCCGTAGTTTCGTGGCGTGGGAAAGACTAATGCAGGTTTGCATAGTATCGAACGATGAAACTAGGGCCCTGCCAGAGAGGAACACCAGAGCAAATCGGAGGACCAATAGAAGAATCAGCGCGGGAGGAGAGAGAAATAAGAAACAACGAATCCCTATCGCTTCATGGAGATGTCATGCCATGCCATAGACAGAGAAGAGCAGAGTGAATGGTGAATGACGTAGATGCGCGACGTGGACGGAGCCGGACTGGGCGATGATTAGAGACGTTTTTAGGGCTCTGGATTTACCGCTAAACCGCCTCGAGCTCGCGGCAGGGCTAACGTAAGACTTGCTGCCCAGGAGGCTTGGTGACACCCAATCACATGTGAAGTGCTAAAAAAATAGAACATGGCAAGAGGATCGAGGAATTACGTAGCGTCACACTGCCACTACAGGCAATTAACCCCTGCCGCGGCCAACAATTTATCGACTCGGCAGTCCCTTCCCTCCCTTTCTTCCATCGCAGTCTTCACCTTCATCATTATCATCATCTCATAGCGATCGAATACCCTCCATTCTTTAGTTTCTTTTTGTGCGTCCGGTTCCTTGTAGCGTCGTCCCTTTACCCATTCTCAACATCTCAAGTCGACCCCGGCGCATCCGTTCTCTCCAGCGCAATCTAGACATTATTATCACATCCATACGCTCGTAATGGCGGCCAAACTCGATTCATCGCCCAAGATGGCCTCATATCTATCTCGGTTCAGCCCTGTACCAACATTTCCCGAATACACTGGTCCCTACAAGGTCGGCACAATGGACGTCGAAATCGCCGTCTCTGAATTGACTTCCCCAGCTCCCACTCCCGAGGAAGCTGCCGATATTCCAACAGTCCAGTTCCGAATCTTTTATCCCGCCACAGACGACTCCAATGGAAAGCCCATCCCGTGGCTGCCGACCCCCCAGAGGCCACATGTTTCAGGCTACACTGAGTTTATTGGCATTTCCAAGACGCTCGCTGGCTTTCTCTCGTGCGTGCCGCTCCCTGCCCAGACTAACACGCCATTTCCCCAGTCGCTAACTCGTGGTATAGATTTCTCCCCAGACATCTGTACTACTCCTCAATCCCCGTTCACAAGAATGCAACGGTCCGACAGCCCGAGACGGAGAATAAGCGATGGCCAACCATGATATTCTCCCACGGCCTGGGTGGCACCCGAAACTCGTACTCATATATTGCTGGCTCGCTTGCCTCCCACGGTGTTGTCGTCTTTTGCCCCGAGCATCGTGATGGCAGCGCCGTGGCTTCGTTCATTCGAGTTCCCGGCGAAAGACCTCAGGACCGATACTTTGTGCCTACTCGCCGATCTATTTCTTACCGCAGAATCCCCCATGAGGTGACAGATGAGGTCTATGAGGCCCGAGAAGGTCAATTGCGTATCCGACTCTGGGAGACGGCATTGATTCATGACGCCATTCTAAACATCGATTCCGGCGCAAGATTCATTAATCTGAACACCTCCACACCAACTTTGCACCAGTTCATGGGACGACTCAATGTAAACGAGCCCGGCAGTATCATTTTTGCTGGCCACAGCTTCGGTGCAGCTACAATGTACCAGCTGCTGAAGAGCACATACTACGCTGACCGACCTGAGTTGGCCGAGATGGGGAAGCCACTGTTCCAGCCTGATGAGGGCAGTGCAATTCGCACGCAGGTGACGGAGAAAACTGTCACAATGCTCCTCGACATGTGGTGCATGCCACTTCTGGGCCCCAATTGCGCACCTCTGTTTTCACTGCCTCTGCCTCTTTATGACGATGTCCCCTCGGCTGCTGGCGGCAACGCTCTACTCGCCGTCGAATCTGAGGCATTCTTTAAGTGGAAGGAACATTTAAACATCAAGGCACGGCTGCTCTCTCCCAATCCGAGTGCAAAGGAGGTAGTACCTACGGTCTTCGAGCGGCCTAGCGGTATCAAATTGACGGAGCCCAACTTCTTCTACGTTAATAACTCTGCTCATTTAAACCAATCTGATTTTGGTGTTCTATTCCCTTGGCTAACCAAGAAGATCTTCTCTGCCGAACAGCCCGAGAGGGCCCTTCGTCTCAACCTGCGTGCCCAGCTTCAACTCTTCCGAGCCAATGAAATTCCAATTGCACGCACATGCTTCGATGACTTGATCGATGGCTCCCACATCGACAAGCTGGATGCAAAGAAGAAGGACGGCGATGCCGTGGAGACCGAAGACGGACTGCACAATGACAAGGCCATCTTTGATCGCAGTGCTAACGATACCGTGGAATGCTGGAACTGGATCGACATTATCGGCCTTGGTGACATGAAGAACGAGGAAGAGACCGGCAAGACCGTCACCCAACAAGTCGAAGAAGCGGAGGAAGAAATGAAGGGCCAGCTCGAGCCATACGAGCAAGCATCTACACCTACGACCACGCAAACGCTGAGCGCTGCTGTTGCGGCTTAGGCAGACGGGTGAACCGCTCTGCCCAATTTATGAATGAAACCACGAACGACGATATCACCACTTGCATGCGTGCACTTTTTTTCTGTCTTTTTTCTCTTCTTCATTTCTTGACCTACAATGGTTGAAGCTTATTCGTCCTTTTTTTTTTTTTTTTTTGGTTTACTTTTTTTTCTAGCCTTGATGATACACTTGGGATTTTTTTGTCGTGGAGAACACTACACACCGACGGAGTTGGAAAAGACGTGGCGTTTATTTTTGGTATGGAGGAAGCTCACTCAGCCATGCCTGTACATTATTACCCCTTAAACCCCCTTTGACAATGTTCCTGGATTAGATTTGTTGCTTTTTTTATCCTGTCTCTTTGGAATCATCGTGTCCACCACCCACATGTCTCTGTTCTGTGATCTTACTCGTGCACGTCGTTAGCTACCTAGGCACAGCCCCTGTTTCGGGTTAGTAATGACATTGGCCGTCAGCAATAATAGTGCTGTCGATGAATCATTCCTCTATTGCCTGATTATTACGAAAATAGATAGACAATAATCCTGTTTAAAATTACTAGCAGGGTGATTGCATGTTCTTTGGTAAGATGATAGAGTGATAGCTACAATACCTGGCACGGTTCTGAACATCTATGTCTTGCATCTTGACGGTGATATTTAGCCTACTCCCGTGGATGTGGCTACCCTATATTTTCCCGTTTTAGCTTGCCTTGGATTAAGTACGGCAAGAGTGTTTAAAAACCCCTTTCTCGATGTAAAATCAAAGGTTCTCTGTTTTCCAGTTGTCTCAAATTACGTTGTTCATATTAATAAAGATTGTGGTCACGCGGTGAGATATCAGTTATGCGATTGTTATACACCACGCACGATATGAGTAGCTCTTCATTGGATACCAGTGTAAACGATATCATCGGATTCTTAGGATATTCTAGGCGACGAAGAGCTCATTGGCAGTAACTAGACACCTTACTTATAGAAAAATGCTATAATCATGGCCTCTCTTCTTTTCATGAAATTCTTCGATACCTAGCAAACATACATATCGAACTACGGTAAGCAAGGGGCCGGATACTTAAAGTGAAGTATCAGACTGTTGGATATATAGACTACGAGTTAAAAGTAGAAGAGGATCAACTAACAATAGAGTACAAATACATTACATGTGTTGAGAGGCTAGGTTATTGTAATAAGTGCTACTTTTAGTTACGAGGCTACTTTATCTTGTAGGGAGCATTCGGCTCCACGAGAAATATCTGGGTCGTTCGGAAATTGGATGTTAAGAGCGCATTTTCATAAGGACAGATGGAGGATAAGAACATTTATTGGAGGTATGCTGTACATGAAAACGAAGCCAGGACTTACCCGGACTTTATCTGCTAAATATCAACACAGGCTCCCCTGACTGTTGCAAGATTCCGCAACTTAGATTTGGTCAATAATATTTACTGTCATATCCATATGCCATTTCACCTCTGTATATAACCTCTGCATGATAATTGACTACCCTATGATTATAGAGATAATGGCAGTGATAAGTTGAACAACAACATCGACGAGCTGGACTTGAGGTTAGCTTGAAGGATATTGATGTGTATCCAAATGAACAACTTGAGACCTACTGGAGCTAATTGCGTAATGAGAGTTGAAATATCACTTAACAGATCGGCTGTCAAAAGATCGCTGAGCTTTGTAATGAGCGTGATAAGTCTGTTCACAACATCCGTCGTCAAAAGCTTGCTTGCGTTATCAAGGAGGGAGCTGAGTTTAAAGACAATCGGAGCAATGAGTTGGATGAGGGAGTTGAGATCGAGGTCTTTGAATTGATCGATGAGAGGCTGGATATCATCCAGCAACGTCCCCGCGCGGCCAACGATGGTGCGCGTGTTGTTGGCGAAAGGTGGCGCCAGCAAGTCAGCGAGGTTAGTGATGCTGGAGTTGACATCATCGAAGAACCCTGGAGTCAAGAGCTTTCCAATGGAATCAATGAGATCCAGAAGCTCACCAAGGATGCTGGTAAGCTCGACCTGAGCGGTGATGGCACTGTTGGTGGAGTTGTCTCGAGGTTGCACAGAGCGCTGGATAAACTTGGTATCTTCGGATCCTGGTGTCCGGGACATGGCCAGCACTGGTATAGATACAGCCAAGGCTGAGGCGAAGAGTCTTGAGACGTGCATACTGAGATTTGCTGTAACAATGACAATATAATTATTCTCACAAGTTGATGCTCGTGCTTGCTTAACCTAAGGATATGATGGAAGATCTTGCTGGTATCTTCCCTGTGTCTCTTGGGCTCTTCCTTACAGACTGATGAAGAATCATTTAATATGTTTCACACCCTGATTACTACCTGGAGAAGTTTGATTCTGGTTGCCACGATCAACGAGCTGGTTTCCTTCTCTGGGCTATGGCATTGCATTGAATATCGACAGTTCCAGCTATGTAGGCCCAGTACCCCGCAAACCGTGCTCTTGAGTTCCTTACTTCCGGCAGGAGGGTTACAAGGGCCGAATGGAAATAAACGACTAAAAACAAGGCAAGGTGGCTAATAATCACCAGATTCGATGATGGTGATGGCCTCTCTAGGGAGGGTGGGATTGTAGCATTTATGCCGAGCCTCGGATTACACCATCATTGACCAGGAAATCTACAAAGCACGTCTTTATTCCAGAATCGGCCCTAATTCGCCATGGTCAAGTGATTGTGAGGCACAAGGTGTGGTGGCATTCCTCCGTCTGGGGTAGTAAAAGTCTGGGGAAGATGGATGACAGAATACGACCTTCCCCCCTCCTGAATGCATGTATCGGGGAATGGTAAGCAACATGCCAATATTCGGATCCTTGTCACGACTCTCCCTCTACATGGACGTTCCTTTATCCAATCAATTCAGATATTTCAGTTTATACCACTTGAGGGGGAGTGTGATATATTTCTGATTTACGTTCTTATTTCCCAAGCACACGGTTGTAGAAGCCTCGGCAGGAAAACGTCACAGGGGATTAAAGACAAATATCTAGGAGTGTGCCTCGGTATTGGTAATAATATCGATTTATATTCGTAAAGGGACACATGTGGTCTATTGTTGGCACCAAGTCGGGAACCTAGTAAGCGACAAAGGGTCTGGAATTGGGGGGAACGAAGCGAGCTATCAGGTGGTTGGATTTACGAAGTTGCCTTGACTCTTAGACACAAAACATTCTAGAGTCCCTCTTAGAAAACAGGGACACAATGTTTGGCCGGGCTTTGTCTCTATTTACCAAAATCCCTGCAAAAGTCTTCTTCTTTCAACAATGCTCCTCAGACCCGCCATTATCTTGTCTACGGTTGCCACATGCCTTGCTACTCGGGATGATTGGCTCAAGATCCGCGATGCACAGGATCTAGCTGCTCAAGCAGCGTCTATTGGGCCTGCGAAAATATCTAGCTTGGTGTAAGTCATGGCTCGCTCCTTGATCTTAACTAGAAGCGCCTAGTCTTGCAGAGCGATCGTGCTGACTGAAACGAAGAACATCCCTTATGGGAGATATATCAATAACTGCTTTGGGAGCTAGGCCAACTAGTGTTGTCGCGATCGAGGTCCCAAAGAGCCTTCAGAATGATATCCTCACAGCTGTACAACCTTCTATCTTGCTCTCTCTTCTAGACCTCGACTATCGGACACAAGTTGCTTCAGAGTTCCACGCAGGAAATACGCCAGGATGGTACGAAGTGAGTACAGAACACTTGCAGGAATACAAAACCTTGTCGTCAAAGGCTCATCACAAAATAGACAATTAAACCCGACGTCAAGAGTTTCTTTGCGCAATTTGTGCAGCACAAGGAAACCTTCGTTACATCAAAGCCAGAAAGCCCAGGAGAAAGCGCCACATCTGTACAATCTTCTTTAGATGTTGAGACGGCTATTGTAACCTCCGTCAACACCGAGGCCTCGACTTATAACGGCCCAAAGCCAGCGCAGCCCTCTGACAGCAAATCTACAGCGTCAGGGGAGTTCAAGCCGCAGGAGTCCACAGACACAGCAGCTACGGTGACTGGGGTTTCTAAGCCACAAAAGTCCGATAATTCTGGGGCAACAGCTTCAGGATATTCTAAAATAGAGAAATCTTCTAATGTAGAAGCAGCAACTTCGGGTACCGTCCACGCCAATGCAAGCGATGTCCCTTCTGTGACCGCTACTGGCAGCTCGCAACCTTCAGACTCCGTCAAAGTTGCTGCACTGGAGTCAGAAATTCCCGATAACGCACATTCAGACAGCACCAAAGCCGCCGCATTGGATGGTACATCTGCGGCGAACGTGAAAACTACCGGAGTACTGGAATCAGAACAAGCCGAACCTTCTGCCTCAACTGAAACTGGATTTTCAAGTGAGGCACCATCTGGGTCTGGATCGTCTGCTTTGGGGGCTCTCGAAACATCCGTCTCAGATCACGCAACTGGAACCGAAATTAGCCACGCAACAAGCGAAAGGGGAACCCAAAGTACGGCGATAGGAACCAAACTGTCCCACCAAGCCAGCGGTGTACCTTCAGCATCTGGATTCAAGTTATCCAGTTCCCATCAAGACAACATTATTTCAACCACTGGTTCTGCCTTGAAGACCGGATCCCTCACTAAGAGCGGTTCTGCAAGTGGCGCGCAGGTGAAGACCACCCAGAGTGCTGCGATCGCGATGCCTACGGGCGTGCATCGCTTGACTGTGGTAGGGGTGGTTGGTATGGCAGGTTTCTTAGGGGTCATGATGGCATTTTGAAAGGGACAGTGGCATTAACGCCAAGGTGATTCACCTGCTTTTGGTTTCTCAGCATGCAGAGCGCGAGGATTGTCTTGAAATTATGAGTACTTGCATGGTCTAAGAAACTCGACAAAGGTCGAGTTCCAATGATAATACTAGGGCAAACCTGTTTTAGGATAAGGTACATTGGTATTTACATGAATTTTTGTTTCTCGTTTGCGCTCAAGCATTTATAAGACTTTTGATATGAATCCAAGTTTTTAATATTGGCGTCACTCTGAATATGCTTTTAATTTGAATTTCCGACTATCTTGTTCCATAACATGGCGATTCCTGTCTGGAAATCTAGGCTAAGACCCTTTCCCTCGGGTCAGAATGAAGTTGGGGCCTACAGAGTTGATCTGTAACTCGGCGAGTTTGAAACATGAGCCCTCTCAGTTTGTCTCCCATTCTCTTCGGGGAAGATTCAGTGTATGTAGATCCTGATATCTACTCCGGCCGCTTCCTCTTTTTGCTAGTTCGTCCTAAGAAGTAATCGTCTAAGTCGTTGTAAGGAAAGACTCGTTTGAGGTTGGCACGTGGTGTCTCAGAATTGTCATTTGGATTAGGACCACTGGTTTCTGGGATCGGCATCTCACGACTCAAATTCCTCTTCTTGCTATTTGGCTCCAGGGACAGGCTGTCTGGGTCATCGTAGGGAAAGGGTCGCTTGAGGTTACCACGGGGTGCCTCCTCGGTTGCACGTGCTGCCTCAGAATTGTCATTTGGACCAGGAGCACTGGTTTCTGGGATATTCTTATTACACTCGATTGACATCCAGCACATCTCGCGAGGCAGAACCTCCGTCCACAATTCGATCTCTCCCACATTAACCCCGTTCTTCTCCCTGTAATGGCAGGACGAGGCGTACTCATTGAAGAGCCGCCTCAACAACATATCAAAATGTTTCAAAACTCCCAACGGCCTCCTCATCAATTCCTCGTTCTCTTCCCAAGGCACGCTGAATGTCGTGGAACCCTGGGGGCACGCGCCTTCGGAATTCTCTAGTTCCCAGAACAGCCCCCAGACGAGAGCCTTCCTGTGCAGCCAGTACGGGTCGGACTCCAGCCCATCGTCATCACCCGATGCGCGGCTGCCTTTCCTGAAACTATCCTCTAGATAGCGGTCTATCTCTTCTGGGATGTTCTTTTTCATCGCACGCTCGTGGTGTAGGGGGACTCGATGCGTGATAAACCAGTACATGTACTTGTACGCCATGTATACCACGTTGAAGCACTGATGGCGGCTCTCCTGGGTCTCGCTATGGCAACTCTCTGGGTCGGGGCAAACACGTATGGAGCGATTAAATCCTACCCCTATGGGGTTAAATAGGTGCGCCTTGGCGCCTGGTTGTTGCGTGAGGAATGGGCAGCGTGCCTTTTGAGATTCGTCGTGGAGCTGTGGGCACCAGCAGCGTCTCGTGTGTTTCGGCTGCGCAGAGATGTAATACATGCCGGTCTCCTTGATTGGCCTGGAGCCTATCCCGCTCAGTTCGCGGTACGTTTTGAGGACCAGTCGGGCGAAGCCGACAACGAAGTCGTGGAAAAAAGGATCGCCTTGCATGGCCTCTGGGTCAAGCAGCATTCGTCCATCGTCTGTCCATATTTGCCTGGGGATGCTCCGCCTCGGTGAATTTTCGTCCGCGGACATTTAGCCCTCGTCGTGTAGTTTCGTCTTTGTCGTGGGATATCAAGAGGATGAAGCTACGCGACGGTCGTAGAATGCGTGGGCTGTGTTGACTATGGTACCATGGCAACTGAGCTGCGTTGATGATGAGCAGAAAATGGAACGCCGAATCAAAGCAAAAGAATCAAGTCTTGAAGGGAAGCATTTGAGATAGGTTGATATTAATAACCAAGGTCTGACTATCTGCCCGATTCCACTGCATTTGAAGAAGGACATACTACCATAGCCAGTTCACAATGTGCTGAGTTTCCCAACTCAGCTGGAACAATGCCTCATTATTTGCCAAGAACGCGCAAGTGTTTTGTGAGGCCTGAGTGACAAAGATAGGCTTACCAAAAATGCAAGCAACGAATTGACCAAAACGCCAATCTAATTATTCACTAATGCCTTTGTCTTTTATTTCTTTGGTCTCTCCGCTCGGGCCATGAACAGCTGTGCCTGGCCGCCGAGCTCTTCTGGCAGCTTGGACTTCTCGGAACACCACCGCCATCCTACCGAGCCCAGTCCGGCTTGTTCAAAGTATCCGCGCAACTCCTTCTCCTCGAAGCCCATCCTTGAGACGGTGTGCTGCACGTCACTGTCTGGCGGTGGTAGAAGTGGCTGGCAGCCACTCTCTGAAGGGCTCACCCAGTCGATGATCAAGAGCACTCCTCCGTCGGCAAGTCGATCCGCGAGCTTGGAAACCATCTGTTGTGGGTTTTCGACATGATGGAGCGCGAGGGACATGACTGTTAGATCAAAATCGTTGTACTCGGGTGTGTTGACGATGTGATCGGATGCTGCCGTGTCTGCGGTGAGGAGGTCGCCATGCACCGCATGCATCTTGTCTTCGGAGTAACCCTCGCTCGTGGCCCTCGCGTTGTACTGGGCGACCATGCCGGATGAGATGTCGATACCACGGGCTTTGGAGATATAATTCGCCAGGGCCTGGGAAGAGAAGAGCAGTCAGCCTGGGGCGGTTCTTTTATTTCTACTACCACGGGCTCGTTTGGGGAACGGAGGGGCTTACTCGAGAGACCATGCCATCGCCACAAGCGTAGTCCAGCATCTTTGTCTCTTTATCGGCAGTGTTGAGCGACGAACTCCCTCCCTTTATCCATGCCACTTGTTCTTGGAGTTCATTCGAGACTTGATTGGTGAGTTCCCGGACCCAAGGTTGGGAGAAGATGTTCGGGGCCACCTTGCTAGACGTGCCCCCGAGTTAGCAGACGAAATGGTTTGTTCCATCTGGATATACAACACTTACTCAAAGTGCTCCTCGTTCCGTTGGCCTATCTGAGAAGGGTCAGGCTGTTCACCGTGGTGGTGGTGATGATGATGGTGATGGTGATGGTGATTCATTGTGGTTGTGGACTCTAGGGACGTAGGAGGAGTGTCTGTACTTTGATAAGGCTGCTCTGTCCAAGAAGAAGGGAATGAAGCTAGAGGGGAAACCGATTTTAAATATGATGTGTCGGTGCCTTTGGTGCCTTTTGGTGCAACCAGATGAGTAAGTCACCGGAAAGTCCCCGATGAATGTCTCCTTGAGTGCGACGGCAGCTGCTACATTCTTGACTCATGCCATGCAGGCAGGCGAAGGCGTGTCAAGCTTATTGCATATCTGCGCCCTGACTAACCGCGATGATTGAATAAATGCCCGTGTGGCTTTGGCGTATCATCGTAGTGCCTCAGCCAGTTTGCGTTCAGAAAGAAGGTTCAATCCTGCTTCGGCTGTTGCCATCAATCACAAAGGCCCCGAAAACCCGCCGTTGAGCCTTAATCTAGTGCCCGAGGATCGTCAAACACTAAGATTCTCTGTAAACAGAATCAAAAACAAGTGTGATGCATTTTAGCCTGCGCCGTTTTACCGTCTATAAGTACAACCCTTTATCAATCGCCCTTGACTCCAGCGTTTTGTTCTACATCGGACCCTATCCGACGATATACACCGTTTTGCCTGATGTTCCGCCTCGAGCGACCCAGGACTGAATTCGCAAAGTTGACAACCAGTCCCACAGCAAAGGCAAACATGGTGAGGCCCAATAATCCCTGGAGGCAGTGCGCCCACATCCAGCTGTACCACTGGCTGTCCCAGCTGTGCCACGAGGCTCCCCTGCCGGTGGTGAATATCGCACTGGCATCATGGACTGGGTGGTTATCGATCATGAGCCTGGTGAGGGGCGGGTCGTTGGCGGGCTTCAAGTCGTGATACATCTCCCACATGAGGGTCTCATACCACTGGCCACCACCCACGCTGATCGATACATAGGGGAAAAAGTAGTCGTGGCAATAGTATGCCAAATTGTCGGTGAACATGACCCAGAAGGGGTGGTTTGGCGTAGCACCGAGGATGTTATTGCTCAGCGAACATGAGCCGCCGTCAGTGAGGAAGACGGGGTAGTAGAGCAGTGCGTCAAGGCTTGTTTGACAGCCCTATGACCTATGTCAGTGCCTTCATTTTTACATTGGTAGATCTCATACATACATTGTCCAAATCAATGTAGATTCCTCCATAGTGGCGCATCAAGAAGTATTTCAAGATGTCAACCTTTTGGACCTTCTCTGGAAGCTGGTCATAAACGGGGAGAAACCATGGATATTCATCCTGGAAGAAGGTGCGCGACGTTTCGTCAGTCCAGAGCTGATCATCATGGGCAGTCAGTATATGAGCCTCAATTGCAATTGAACAAGCAAAAAGATGAGTGAAAGGGAGAGAAAATGAGATACTTGGATGCCATCCCGTGCCAAACTCACCTTGTATTCATATTCTGGGTTCAATTTAATGATAGTCGCTTGCAGCTTGGCCCAGTCTGCAGGCAGCGTCTCGTTGCCTGGATCGGCCCAGTTATGGAAAATCTGATGAATGATCCTAGGCACCACCTGCACCCGGGGATCCTTCTTGTCTTGTTCGTGCAACGTGAGGGCCTCTGGCTGTGTCAGGGAGACACCGCTGTGTGGGCCGAAGATGCGTGCGACCAGCAGGATTTTAGGGAGCCAGAGCCAGATGGCACCTATCAGAAAAAGGACAGCGATCACCGTCGACCGCCTGGCTGGAGAGAGCGCCATTGTATCCGGGCAGCAAGTATTCTGACCATCGCACTGCAACCTCTGCACCGAAAGGGAACTTGGAAACCGGCTGCTTGGTAGGATGGTGCGTTGGTGATTGAGTTTGCGGTGATCGATATGGATTTCAGGGGCAAGGCGCTGATGACGCGCCAGCCCCTTCTGCTCGGCGGCAACCCAGCTGGAACATCGGAATCGCGACGACGGGATGAAACATCCCTGTTCCAGAGCAACTAAGAAAAGAATGCTGCAGCGGCTTATCTGTGTGGAATGGGCGGGAACAGGCGCTGTCGCATCACGAAATAGCGGATCTCAGGGAGGGATCTGCAGGGATCCCGTCTTACTTCATTGCTGCAGCCGAGTGCAAGGACACGCCACAGTCCAATAGCAGTCGCTAGCCCTTGCGAAAACACCGGTACAGGCAGATAATTCTGCTACCATCTGGCATTATTAGCATTGACATCGGATCTATCGTCGCAAGGGCTTCCCTAGCGTTTGCGTGTAGGGACCATCCAATGCTGAGCCTAACATCGGCCGTAATGAACGCTAGCAGCGGAAATCTTCAGTGCCTCCATCCATCCATGTCTGTCACGATCATATGGCTCTCCAAGCATCACTCCTCCCACCTTCCGGCAATACGAGCTTTATTGCCATGCAGTAAGGCGGCAAGCATCGGCCGCATGTAAGCCTTCTCGTATAATGCCGCCTGTCTGCACCATCAAACTTGTCCATGCCTAGGTACCTTAGATAGGCCATTTTTAGCACACAACCACTCATCAGTGCTTGGTTCTCTAACGGTCGCATATTGATGAGGTCACTTCTCTATCTAGACCATCCCCAACTGTACGAGCAAACGAGAAGATTCAATGGAGACAAATAATTGCACAGTATATTCTCTAATTCTAAGCGAGGACTCTGAAGATGGGGTACTCGTCCCCCTCTTCCACAGGAACAATATTGAAGGAGACGTATGAATCAATATTTTCAGGCTCCAGTGCGACAAATGCGAGGCCGGCGTTCTTCTGCTTCGTGCTGACGAGGAAGCTACCCGCGGGGAGCTCTATCTCTCGCTGGCTGGTTTCAGCAGTAGCCGTCACGCGAACCACGCCCTCGTAATAGCTGGTGGCCAGCTTCGTCGACGTAAAGGTGAGCGCCTCCACAGTTCCCTTCCAGGGCTCGGGCAAGGTTTGGACCTCGAGGCCATAGACACGAAGGCGCTCGGCGAGGTCGGGCCAGGCGACAGGGATGAGATAGGCCTCAGGGCGCGAGCGTGTGAGGTTCGCAAGGCTGGGGGTCGTGGAGGAGAAGCGCACAGGCTGCTTGACAACTTCACCCGTGCTCTTGTCGACGAAGGAGAATTGTCGGATAGACGTCTCGCTGGAGTCTGTCACAACGATCTCATCTGATGAGCTGATGAACTGCTCAATGCCGCCCTCGATGGTACTGAAAACTTCATCTGCGTTGTCAGCTGCGGTCTGGACAATGCTGCTGAGCATGGTAAATCCTGAGGCAGTGCGGCGCTGGAACTCCTGGTCTGCCAGCCCAATACCGCGCATTTCCAGAAGGAAAACAACGGCTTGAGTGAGCCCCATGGCATTGCGCCCGATCTTTGCGTCGGTCCCGGCTTCAGCAAAGGTAGCGACATATTCAGAACTAGACGAGGAGGACCCTGTGACGTAAGGCTCCGTTCGAAGCCCGGCAGCCTCCATGTCCTTCGCGATGTTCACGGCAAAGAGTTCCTCAGAGAGTGCTCGGATGTCCTTGTGGATGTTGAGATTTTTAGCTGCCGAGAACAGACCATCTGAAGCGTGGACGTACTTCCCATTGCCGAATGTGCTCGACGCTCCGTACTCATGCATATCCACCACCACGTGAGGGCTGAACTCATTCTGGAGCTGCTTGATGCTGCGAGTCTGCTGACGAGCTAGCTTGACGTGGTCACGGTTGGGATCAAAGTTGGTTGCCAGTGTACGCTGGAAATAGTATTCTCCATCTGGGTTATAGCGTGGCAGGATAACCAATTCAGCCTTGCTGAGGATGGTGTCCGCCCACTCAGGGTCGTTATCAAATTTTCCAAGAAGGGCCTGTGTAGACTCGTCCCCAGCAGGCTCGTCGCCATGAACTGAGCCCTGGATCCAGATGCGGACCTTTCCTGTAGAGTCTCTGCGACGAGATGTGGAGTTGCTGGACTTGCTTGATAAATAAATGTAAGGGAATTGGCGGCCCTCTTCCGAGGTAAAGTTGGCCGTCTTGTAGGTCATAAAGGTGTTCTTGTCCGCAAGATCCTGCAAGAAGGCATCTGCACAGGATGTTAGTACCCTGTCAATGCCGTAAGCTCTAATCGTGGGATTGACCTACCAACATCCTCGTGAGATGTAGGGCCCTGGGTTCCATTCTTGAAGCCATCAAGACGAATCTCAGGAGTCAAGAAAGCAGGGGAATAAAGTTCAACATCGACATCTGGAAAGGCCTTCTCCACAATCTCAGAATCGCGATTGACGGTGCGCTGATTGTAGCCATATTTGTCTGCGCTGGCTAATTTGACAAGCCCAAGAGCGAGCCCGGCAGAGTTTGTCAACCTCATTATTATCCGTTAACCTTTCAAACTGGAAGGGACAATGAGATGTTGGTGAAGTGACCAGAGGATATTGAGGTGGTTTTCTTTGAGCTACATCGAGAGGAGAAATGGCCCTCTTTTATTGACATTCCAGAGTCCAGTGGATTGACCATATTGACGATGGGCGTATCCATCTTCGAACCGGCATCATATCAAAGCTTCGTCACCTTTTTTACCCACTACATGGTTCTCCTCACTGAGCTACGGGGAGCTTCCTGTTCGAGGTTCGTTGCCAAGCCGCGAAGCTATATGCTTGACGTAGGTGCTTAATTGCTAAACCAGTCGGGTGAATTGCCCTAAAAGATTGCAGTGGGCCGTTGACTAGGAAGACTTGTTATCAAGCACTTTTGTTGACGCCGGCTATTCTCCTTAATACTACTCTGTCTCATGAGAACCATAGCACGACATCTCGTCTGCATACTCACACATGACCAAGTTATTTCAAGACCATTACTGAATTACAATAGTAATCAATCTCCTGCTGGAATTTCCGGGCCCATCTCGATCGTGGTCTTGCCATCGCCGTTAAAACAGCAGGATAGGACCCGTCACCTTCGGCTCTTAACTTTGAGTGCCGATACAAGGTGGGGGGAGGGTCACGAACACAATCCACAGCTGGGCCCTGGCTGGTTTGGTGTACTCACAGCCCCTCGGGGTTCGCATGTGGAGATCAAAAGATAAGCATGGTGTGACTTAGGGTTAAGCTTATGAACGGTGATATATGCTTTTTGCAGATCACCGAGACCGGTAGGACTTGTTTCCAGATGGCATTGATGCGCAGAGCTAACTTTACATAAGCATGGAGGTTAAAGGGCGCCACAGGGATGTGACAAAGCCGCCACAGAACATTGGAGAATGCTGCGCCACACATGGGACACGGCCTTAGTCAGCATGACGGCGTCGCATTACTTTGCTTGAAGCTTTAGGACATGCGATACACTTGATGATCATTGAATCTACTTCTTGAAATTTCTAACTCCTTTTTTACGATACAATTTTCAACTTCCAAAACCTCCGAGGCCGTCATTTGAATAAGACACAAAGAAGCAATGGCCTCGACATCAGAAGTTGCCGATGATGCGGCTGCAGCTCCAGTCATTCAATTCAAGAAGAAGTCGCGAGCTCGACCAAAGGGAAACATCATAAAGAGGCCAGCCACTCCCGAAAAGAACGATTCTTCCGACGACGATTCCTCCTCAGACGATAACGGGCTCCAGGATGCGAGGCACAAGGTCAAGCGCAGGAAGAAAGGAACCGAAGTCCACTCCTCGACAACTGCCGATAAATCCTTAGCGGCGATTCTCCCAACTGTCCACCAAGCCGACCGCAGTGTCGCGATCAAAGACAGCAACGATGCAACTAAACAACGAAACTGGCACGAAGAAAACAAGCCAGGCGCCAAGATCGGCCCAACCAAGTCGGCCAGCAACGTCCGGATGACCACATTCACCGAGTATACGCTGGGCATCTGCAAAGACTACAAGAAGACTGGGCATTGCGGGTAAGTGATCGCAAGCTTTCTTCAGACTAGTATGAATCTGTACTGACAAGTAATAGTTTCGGCGACGCTTGTATTTTTGTTCACGATCGAGGCGACTGGACCGGTGGGTGGAAGCTGGATCAAGACTGGGACAAGGCCGTCAAGGAGAACAAAGTGCCCAAGAGCACGGTGGTAGCCAGCGCCGACCGGACGCGAAAATTCGACTCTAAGAACGATGACGACGCGTCGATCCTGGAAAACATCCCCTTTGCCTGCATCATCTGCGAAAAGTCGTACCGCGATCCGATTGTAACGCGGTGCGGCCACTACTTCTGCGAGTCATGCGCTCTGGCTCGGTATAGAAAGGACCCAAGCTGCGCCTCCTGCGGTGCGGCAACGAATGGGGTCTTCAACACGGCATCGAGATTACGGAAACTGCTGCAACGGAAGAAGGAATGGGAGGCGAAGAAGGCTGAGGCTGAGGCTGAAGGGGGAGACGCCTGATAACTTCGAGCCTTGGAAAATTAATTATGGTTCCTAGCGACAGTGAAAAGAAGGCGCTGCGAATGTTTATGTGTCCAGAACACACACCATTGATTGGCATCTTTCCCTATCAATGGCCACATCTAACCAGCGGCTTGGTCCAAGTGTCAGGCCACAGCCCCAACACTGTCCCTGTTTCTAGATCTGGAAGTGTCACTTGATCTGGAATACGGCGGACACTTTCTGCTTGTGGTGTTGTTGCCTATACGGACGAGTTTTGGGACCTGTGATCCATGTTTGGCCTTGGGAGGTGAAACTCTGACGCTATTCAGGCGAAACCAGTGCTTGGAGTTTTCGAAAGAACTGGCCAACTTTTGCCAAATCAAGTGAAACTTTCCAACAACCTCGCCATTCTCCAACTACAACTCTGTTGTCAACGACTTGAGACAGGGTAACAGCGTGGGGGTTGGGTACGGTGATTTCGGCCTAACTCGGTAACATCTTACTCTCACGCCTCACGCGGGTCTACGCTGCCTCCTGCCGCCGTTTTTCTTCTCACGAAGTCGGCTTATCTGGCCCATATTCGTCGTGGACCGGCAGAACGGCAGGAAACTCATCTCATGAACCGTTGCACAAACATGCTGGGGTGAATTTACATAGTGTAACAGATATACCTTACCTAGCGGTTGATAGGACTGAACTTCAGTTACTAATCTATGTGTTTACGTGTCCACGACCTAGCACACTTTGGTGTTTCTCACATTTTCAAGGCTGGTGGGACAAGCCCCCTTCGTAATCTGCTAAGGCTTCGTTTCACAGCATTGTTCTCAAACGCCTGCCGCCTTCCCGTTGCAGGACTGGCTCGCTCATGTTTCCTTTTTTTCTCTCGGTCCTATTAGTCCCATTACCCCGTACTCTTGTCCTCATTGAGGATTTTCAGTCACCAACTGCCATGCTTGGGAGGCAGGGGGGGTGGAGTAGATTACTATTCTCATCGAATGTGAAACCGGGGCAATGAATGTAAACCTCTTCCGAACTCCGGTACAGGGGGGAACCATGAGCATAGACAGCAAAGCTGGGCTTAAGCTTAAACACAGTCTGTATCATTTACCGGTGCTATGTTCTTTTCATGACCGTCTCTTATATCGGGGGTCTCACTCTAACAGTTAGCATCCAAGGCGAGGTCCGTATATAAGTAGTTTAAATTGGTCGGCTGTCTTAGGGCGCCTTCTCAGGCATTTTGCATGGATCATCGCGGTGCCTGTTTCGCGATGCCTGCTTGGCGAACTGTCCCGACTTCCGAGAGCCAGCTCATCAATCCCACCGCCTCCAACCTTCTGGCTTGAAGGTGGTTCGCATAAGCCGAAATTAGAAAGAGGGAAAAAAACATGAGTTTTCTATTGAAGATATTTACGAAGAATAAATCCAGTGGATTTGCCGTTCTCTGACCTCAGCCTGTGCCACAGCCAAATGCACATGAGACGACAAAGTTCTAAAGGTTTCACCCTGCGCCATCACCGTACCTTCCTTTTTGCTGCCCCTGTTTTGCCGATTCGGCGGCATACATGAGATGAACTGACGATCAGTGGGGTCATGTAACACCGAAGTTTAGGTTGACTTGGTGGCACACTTTCCATCGGTGCAAATGAAGTCGTCGGAACAGTCTTGCGCCGTCGCACACGATGCCCCTATCCAATATTAGTCTCCGGAAATCCCTACCAAAAGACATGGCACCGAGATAACTAGCGTTAAAAGGTGGAGGGAAGAGGAAAGAGAGGAAAGACTCACCCAGGCAGTGGCCAGCCCAAGTGCAGGTGTTGTCACCACCATCACCAGTATCGTTGCCTCCAATTCGCTGGACGAGCTTGTCGCCAAGACCGACGATGCTCTTGTGGAAGTCGTCAAAGTTGTCAGCCGTCCAGTCGGCGCCGGTGGCTCCCGGAACGGCATCTGTTCCTGTAAAGGCGATGTAGAGAACGTCGGGATCGTCGTGGCTAGAGCCGGTCTCGCTGCCGCCGCTCATACTCTGTCCGTAGCAAGCAGTGGCCAGAGAGAGGGATACCTCGCCCACGCTTGGTCGGACGCCCGGACCGTTGGTGTCACCCCAAACGCCATAGAACTGATCGTAACACAGACCCCGTTAGTTGGAGAAGGGATTACCTCCGAGATCAGGTCTCTTACCATTTTGTCGCCGCAAACGACAGCCATCACACTGGCCTTGTTGACACCGTAGGTTCGAGGGTCAAAGGTTGGCCACTCCTCCGGCTTGCCCGTGTTTCCAAATACGACGAAGCTGTGGTCAAAGGTGTTGATGTCGTTGATGCCGATATTGTAGCCCGCGATGATGGGCTGGATGGCAGTCGCGTAAACCGTGGTGCCAGCGCCGCCCTCACAGCGAGTATCGCCGTCAGACATGTCGGGGGCGCCATCGCAATCAACGTCCATGTTGCTGAATTTCCCCGGGCCTTGGAGGTAGACGACCCCGTAGTCATCGAGGTGGTCGCCACAGTAGGACATGTCTTGCCGCCGCTTGTTAGTTCCATATTTCTTCGGCATCTTTCAACGGCACTGATACTCACCTCCCTGCTCGAACTGGGAGTTGTAGAAACCCGTGGCGAGGGCCTTGTCGCATTTTCCTTTGGCCTTCAGGCTATCGTAAAAGGTCTTCACGTTGGAAGGGATGTCAAGGGCGAGTGCACCAGGCACAGCCGCGAAAAGAAGAGATGTAGTCTTCATTGCAAAATAGCAATGAGTGAATTTAGAAAGTCGCAGACTTGAGCTCAATAACTAAGTGAGAGAATGATATGTGGAATCAAAACACCGGCAACATTTGATAGAAGTAGAATGCGATCACTATATATATACTCACCATGACCCCCCTTGCCAAGAACGGATGTCCCTTACTTGCCGGAGTTCCATGGGGTCTCGGTATGCGCTGTGCCGCGCGTGGTGAATACCTAGTTCCTTCACTTTTAAGTATAATTTCAAGAAGATGTGGAGGGCTTGTTTCAGAAGTACGAAATTCGTCGCGACGCCTGCCGGTTGTGGGCCGCCCACTGCAGTCAGCCGAGCCGGATGAATCAAACTCTTCCTCAAATTGCTTGTAAGGCCATTCTTTGTAGGGGGTCTGATACCGCCACTGTGTAGGCGCGCGGGATGCGCATTTGTCGGAACTCGGATGGGGATGAGGTATGGGTAAGGGCCCAGGATCTTGCTAGCCTGCGGTTTGAAACCCTCCGGGGGAGGATAAACTAAGCAGGGGCTAGCCAGACCACGTGTGGTAATAAGTGCTATACAGTAAACTAACATCATGAACATATAATAGTGTGATTATGACTGACGTGCGAGAACTGCTCTGGCATCAGACTACAGAGGCACTTGGTCTTTTCCTCCGACCGTAGGAAGACGTTTTGCAGGAAGAGAAAAGGCCCTGGTAGACTGGTATATCACGAGTGACAAAAGCCGAGGGGCAAATATCTCTGTGCTGACTTTGGTGTTCCCATGTTTGAGCTATGCCTGAAAGGCTGTGTTGTGAAGATGAGAGAAAAGCCCTCCTATTGTTATGGAGAGCGACACCTGGGGCAAGATTATACACCCTGCATCAGAACTAAGGGGGCCGATATGCTTCCAATAAACACAAAAATGCGGCAGTTGGTGAGAGGGGGTAGCGCTAGCAAGCACTTTTTCAAAACCACCTCTCAACAATGTGCTCAGCATAAAGGTCACAGAACTACTGTGCTTAGAAAGTTTAGTGCAGGCTAGTAAACGAAGAAAATAGCACCAGCCCGTAAAACACCAGTATCAGAACAAGCAAAAGAACCGGAGGCACATACACACCACAGGCAGAGGCATCAGAAGCACACACCCATCGCCCGTGGAAGAGCCTAAAATAGAATTTGATGTCACGCGTGCAAGAAGGAATGCGCGAAAATTGATGGTAACAGAATAAGTGGCAAGGGTACTGGTAATGTTAACCAATATTTGAAGCACATACATTACTTCTACCATGGTTTATCAACTGAACAATTCAAATCCCCGAAGGTTTGCCTATCCAGGCAATATCCTTAACGCCTTTACGCCACGGGAATGCCTTCATACTCCGCATATCCAAGCGCCAGGTTCATGTTTTCTGGTAAAGTCTGTCAGCAAGCGGATATATGTACACAAGAGAGGCACTTACGCAAACACTGAGTGGCGGCTCCTTTGCTGAGGTTGTCGATCGTAGCGGCGACAACGACCCGCTTTCCTGTACTATCAACTGCGAAACCACCAATTTCAACGTGATGTTTCCCAGCGATGTCTTTGACCATGCTATAAATTCCTTGTCAGTATGTAAAAAGTGGGTTTCATCTTATCGGGCAAAATACATACGGAGCCTCGCCGACAACCTTGACGAGCTTCTCGCCAGCATATCGGTCTTGGTAAATTTGGCGGATTGTTCGAGAATCCATTACCTCTTTAAGAGGGATGCTAATAGTCAGATGGATGCCACTACAGATAGCTGGTTAGCAAAGGTGCCTAGACACATAGAACCCAGATGCTCAGGGCAGGTAGCTGACCGGAACCAAGAAGAGACATGTGGCATCAGCGCAACTTCGCCTTGCCCAAGACCAAGACTATGAGCCACTTCTCTCTCATGGATGTGTCCAGTAAGAGAGTAGGCAATCAGATTGTCATGAAGCAGCTTGACATCATTCTTCGGCTATACAAATAATTAGTCAATCTATCTATAATTAAAGAGAGGGCGCTGAAGACATACCGAGGGCTTGGTGCCAGCCCCTGAATAGCCGCTCACTCCAAATACTGGTCTGAGTTAGTCGACTTTATTCTAACAAGCTGAATAAAGAGATGATACGACGATAGGCATAAGTTTGGGAAATAGTGGGGATACGTAGGGGCCTCGGGACCAGGCAACTATGACCGGGCTCCTCCGCCAGTGCCATTTCATCCGGCATGCAAAACAACTTTCCTGTTGTATTCGCGACAGCTCGTTTGGTGGCGCCGATGGAGTTTCCAAGTGC